TGCCCAAACTCAAATAAGCCTATGAAAAAGGTACCAGGGGCATCTCATGGGGCCCCCTACTGACCCCGGGCCCTTGGGGCAGTGCCTGAGTTTCCAAATGGTCAGTCCGCCGCTGTTTGTGTCAGACATTTGTGTCATCTCTGAACCACCATCTCAGTCCAAGAAGTAAATGGTGACCCAGGATGATGCCTAAATAACGATGGCGCCGCCCTTTTGGAGAGAAGAGCAGATGAAGCCATTTACCAGGGCTGAGTACCGTGATCTCTATTAGATGTAATACATACCTGGAAGTGTCACAATACTTATTATCCATGAATTTTATAAGAAAAAAAAAAAAGAGAGAGATATGATCCTAGGTCTACTTTAATGCTGTTAGGAAATTGTCATTCTTCCCTTTCGCTTTTTCTTCCTGCAAAATCTTCTGTCCTCTTCGATTTTGTCCTAAATCCTGTAATTCCATAAGACACTTGAGAAAACCCTTCTATTCTGTCTGAAGGTCACCGCCGTCACGGGCGATCACAGTGCCAAGATGACACTAACTTGCTGTGGTAGTTTGCAGATGCTGGCGCCAGTCTCTGGAAGCCGCACAGCTGTGCCGTGGCAGATGGTTGAAGGCTTTGCAGTGAGATTAATGCAGGATCTGAGCCGCTTGTAGCGTCCTCCTGCTGGAACTTCCCGAGATTTGAAGGGACCGCTCGTCTAAACAGCGCTTTTACTTTTATTTCTCAATATATGCGAGTATCAGGGGCGGACTGACCATTTGGAAACTCGGGCACTGCCCGAGGGCCTGGGCTCAATAGGGGGCCCCATGAGATGCCCCTGGTACCTTTTTCATAGGCTTTTTTGAGTTTGGGCAAGGACACAGGGGCCCCATGATCCCCTATTGCCCAGGGGCCCCATGAGTTGTCAGTCCACCCCTGGCGAGTATCACCCCTATTTAGTGAATACATGCGGCGCATACACTTCACAGTGTTGTCATCAAAACGTCAGTGATAAATCTCCAATTATCACTCGTACATTATATATCATTCCTTAACCACTTCCCATCCAGCCGCTGTATATAAACGGCCGGAGGGTGGCAGTCCAGGGCGGGGTGCGCGGGGGGAGCGCGCGGCACCGCGAACACCGATCGCTGTACGGGACTTCTGTCTGAGGTCTCGATCATGTGATCACTGATTGGCCAGTCAGTGATCACATGAATAGGTGTAAGCAAGATGTCACTTCTGACATCATTGCTTACTACTAGTGAAATCTGTGAATGATCACAGAGGTCACATGGTACAGGGCTATTCACAACAGCCTTGTACCATGTGACAAGCTGTGACCAATCACAACTTTCACAGTATTTCTCAATGGCTGCAAGATTGCAGCCAGAGAGAAGGAGAAATGATTGCTTTTACAGCCTTTATGGGTGTAAAAGCAATCACTGTAAAAAAAAAAAAAATCTTCATCACCCTACACAAGTAGCACAGTGTCACCATGCTAAACACTTGTAAACATACGCCTGTTCCTGGATTAAGGCTATCAATTTGGAATGTGGGCTTTCATGCAAATCCTAGTATGGTATCAGGATTGAGTATGTTTTCTTTGCTTTTTGGGTTTTCATAAATATGTTTGTGACGGGAGTCACTTTGGGTGGGGGGCCCATGGAACCCAGCTCACTTTGGAGAGGTGGGGAGACCCCTGTGTCAGCTCCCCATATCCCTCTTATGTGTAAGTCACCCTGTGCCTGTTAGGGGTACAGGGTGATCTGTTCTCATATTGTGTAGACATGTCTAGGAGATAGGTGTGGTTTTTGGATTGTTTAATGCCATGTGGTTGCATCCCATTGTTCTATTGTGTGTCTTGCTTGGGAGCAAACTATTATGGGATGTATGTATTTGTGTATTGGCTTGGTGGGGGGTGTTTCCAGCAGCCCTCCCTCCTGATGGGACTGTGTGCTGGTGTGTCTCTTGTTACTAAAGGTAGATTGCCCCGCCCTGTGTCATTATGCAGGGAGGGGGGGGTTGGTCCCTTGAATGTATATATCTTGTATCTGTGTTAAAATAAAGTAGTCTATTTCCTGGTTTTACTTCAAGACTGGTGTCGTGTAATCTTGTATGGTCTGCGGTGGTGTCTGTGGTCGGTGTTCGGACAGGATAGTGGGAGTCCAACGGAAGTACCCAAGTGCAGTCGGGGTCCGGTTCCGTTACAATGTTGAAATATAATTATATATGTAATAGCAGCATTATACTTGATTACATTTTTCAATCATTTTTTTATTGAAGTTTTAGAATTTACAAAGCAATGGCTGGATATAATGATAACAATGGACATGGCGTTGGTCAACGGTACAGTTACAGACCAGACACATTGCTACCCAAAGTGGCCACAACAGAACACATGCAGACAACCAAAAAAAGAGACCTGATGGCCTGAAAAAGTACATACGTAGGATGGGGGATGTGGCTGAGACCAGAAGTACATGGCTGGACCACCCATACGTATGACACATTAACCTCCCTACTCTGTTGGGGTAACCCATCTGCCAAGTCATTGAAGAATTCCAAAAAGGAATAGAAGAATATAAGTCATGAGACAAGAAAAAGAGAAAAAGATTGATAAGTATTAATGAAAAGGGTGGGTCAGGCGTAGGATGGGGTTTAAAGGGGAAAGAGCCTCAGGAAATGGGAAGCTTCCTGGAGTAATTCCTGGAGGAGATATCTAAAAGTCAGTAATGTCATATAGTCAATAGAGAGCCATCATGATCATTGGGGATATGGTGGGTAATCCAGGAAGCCCAGGCTTTTTGGAAACTGTCCATGACGATCCCCAGTGTGGTCACCATGTTTTTATTGGGTAGATGCCAGGTAAGTTTGTTAATGTAATTTTTTTCTGATATGAGATGCCCAATTGTTTACAGAAGAACCGCTAAACAAAACTGAGATCCCTGAGGGCCCATGGTCATCATTAAAAGACTGGCTATCTTCTAATGACTGTATTTTGTTTCCTTCTGTGATAAGCAGTCAACCCTGAAGGAGGTCATATTGTATTAGAACATCTGACCACGCTTCTACATGATTGAGTGGCTTAAAACGGAACTTTACTCAAAAAAAGTTAAGTCCTATTGGATTTCAACCCCCCCCCCCCGCCTTGATAGGGAGGGAACAAATACCAATTTTTATCGGTGCCCACTCCAACATTGCAATCCTAGCCTATGCAAGGATGGCGTCCCTTACCCTACTTCCTCCCCCTCCAGTGTCCTTCTGGAACATGTCACTGTCCCAGGAGAAGGGGTCCAGCATGGAGACAGTATCAACAGCAGTGAGAAGCTCCCACTGACCAGCAGGGTAAATACACAACCAGGTCACCCTGGCGGATGGGCTCACCCCGAGGTGCGGGGTCAACCACTAACTATCTTCACCAGGCTCCTGAGACCAGTGTGTTATCCAGGTTGTGGTCAGGATCTCCCCACCAGTAGTGAGCAAGAGTAGCAGATATACAGTTGTGTCCAAAATTATTCAACTGCTGTAAAGGGGTTTAGGGACTATAGTGTACATTTGGAATTGTATTCAGAATCAAATCCTACAAGGACGTTGTAAATACCCAAATGCAACTAAAATGACATCAATTGTTTATGTAATACAGTAGTAAATGGTTTCTTATGACACAGGCTCACCCGAGGTGCGGGTGGATCTAAATCAAGCACTAACTCAGTCTTCACCAGAGCTCCTGATGGTGAAGATTAGGAAGCATTTTCCTGTGTGGTTAGATACTGCTGGTTGTGGAGAGAAGTGGTCCTCAGGATCTCCCCAGACAGGCGTAGTGAGCAAGCTGGGGTCCTGCAGTAGCAGATATAGCAGGTTGGGGTCTCAAGCAGGAGTGTACTCAAAAACAAGCCAAAGGTTGGTAACAAGTGGTTGCAGGTTGGAACAACTGGATCTTTCCATCAGGTATTGAAAACACCTGTGGAAGTGTATGCATAGTACAGGAACAAGCCAAAGGTCTGTAATGAGTGGTAAAGGAGATAAGTACAGCTGCAAGTACACAAAGGCACAAGATATTGGCTGGAAAAAGAGCACAGTAATCCAGCAAACTGGGAGTGCAAAGGTACAAGACAAGATTGTCCAGACCAGACAGGGAGCTGTCCAGCAACTCAGGTGGCTCAGCAAGAAGCATTAATGCCAGACACAGCAGAGGTCCTAGGTTCAGATCAAGGACCTGGCTTGTGCAGCTGAGGTTCCTCAGATAAAGCAACAGCCTGTTCCCGTATCCAAGATGGCAGCAAGCAGCAGAGACCTGAAGCGTTAAGAAAAAACAGCTGCAGGAAGACAGCGCTGGACACCTAGCACAGGTAAGTACCTGATTTTCAAAAGTTAGCAGGTGCAGTATTTGTAGATGCTGACCTTTAAGAAAGAAGAATTAAACCAAAGTATCTGATTTCTGCGCTCCATATACATTCCCAACGTCCACTGAAAAGATCCCCGACTAAAACGAAGCCACGTGATATTCGGTGGTTTAGCTACATTATTGGATCAGCGGGAGTGGGGTTTTGATATAAATAAGTGGGGCCTAAAGCATAACTAAAGTCAGTTTTTTTCAGATTTGTATACAGTGCTGAGAGGTTAGAGCCGCTGTTGGGTTTTTATAGCTGTCTGTGTTCCCATTGGGGAGATTTTCCCTCTCTAACTGACCTGATCACCAATATCACTGGGGATGAAAGTGAGGGGTAAATCCAAAATTTTGAGTTGCCACCAGAACAGCAATAGAGGGGAAAGCTCCAATAGGGATTCTTGTGCCCAGAACAACTGTCTAATAGAGAATTTCCCTCCCTTTGGAAAGACATCCTCTCACTACTTGTTGGGTCTACAGAGTTTGCAACAAAACCCTAGCCTACTGTCCTCGAAATGTGAAAACAAAAAGTTTTGTTTATAGATATACTTTAAATGCTGTTCTTTGCATAGTAAAATGCTTGAGTGATGGGTCTATCCCTTGTTACAGATAAACTGTGTCCTTTCTGCAGGTAACAAGCACAAACCATGGATGGAAGCGCAGTACCAGGGGATCATAATGGAGAATGACAACACCGTGCTGCTTAACCCACCACTGTTTGCTTTGGACAAGGATGCACCACTGAGATACGCAGGTACTGGCAGGAATTATCGGTGTAAAGCGATACGCATTACAAGAACATTTCACTTTTCTAAGGTCTCTCCAACCTCCAGAAGGTGAAGTTGCTTCTTGAAATGGAATCCACCATGCCAGTAGTAGAACTGGCCTTCTCATAAAATGGTGGTGGCTACTTATCCCTTTTAAGTGAACCTGTGATCTGTCTAGGCCAGGGCAAAGGAACAGGTTAACTTTAATGATGACCCCACCAGCAGTCCACATATTCCCTCTCTTTGCTCTCCTACAGAGCCATGTGTTTGGAGTGAAAGAAAATAACTGGTAACCCCAGTCATAGGGGTGCATGTGCCTTGCATGACATATGACAGCTCTGGTGCTTATTCATTGACCAACACTACCAATTTGATATCGTGACTTGACACACTGAAAACAAATGTACTTGGATCTGCTCTGGGGGGTATGACTGATGTTAGAAGGAAGATGTATGTGCATTCAGAAGCATGTGCAATAGCTGGAAACAAAATCTGTAAACTTGTTGTGACTAGTGATGAGCTAAGGTCAGGCTAAACCCAGTTTGGCCCAAGCCCATGGGAAGCTGTCAAACGATGGTAAATCAACCACGGCCCGGGCATTGTCTGCCCACAAGCCACACGTAACAAGGGGTCAGGATGCTAACTGATGTTATTATCCAAATATGGCCACATGGACATATTTGGACAATGTCATTGACCAAATATGGCCATGTGGCCATATTAGGTCAGTGATTGATGTCACCAGCATCTCTGCCTCTTTGTTACTGGCAGCTGCTGGACAGGGAAATCCCTGATTGGGCTGGTAGCCTGCTACCATGTGTCAGTGTCCACGTGGGTTTGGGCTGAACTCAGTCAGCTCGACCTTAGCATATCACTTTTTGTAACCAGGTTGGTGTCAACAACCATAGTTACAGGGAAGGGTCTAGGAGACAAACACATTGGCTGGTGATCACTGTCATTTGCCTGTAGTCATCTTGATGTAGTGCCCTCCTTTAGTTAGGTTAAATTTAGTTTTTGGCTCCGCTGTAATCAGTGTTGCAGCAATTGGGTGTTTTTGTCTGTTCAGGGTTTCCTGAGCTGGACGTTTGATTTATCTCGCATGCTTTTGGGGGAAGCTTCCAAAATATAGAATTGAGAGATTCCAATAGCCAGCATTATTATTTATCATGCTCCAGCCAACCCCTGGAAGGAGGAATCCAGAAGGTGGCTGGGGTGGTGATAAATGTTTGGTTGGCCTGAGAAGAGTGTTCTTTCATCTCCAAGGAGGGTTCCAGTTCTCCTCCAGGAGAAGAGCTACTGAGACAATAGATTTTAGTCTGGGCCTTAGCATGAGCTGGGCTGAGGGCCTGAAGGAGGTTGATAGTGGACTTTTTGGACTTCTGGTCTGGAGAAGGATCTTTTATCTCCATCACCTTTGGAGGCTGGGTGGCAGACAGCTCCTTGGACATTGTGAGTAAGACCTGATTTGGAACTGTAGTGTGTGCCTGTTCTTGAAAGATTTTTTTTTTCTACTAAGAAGTTTGTCCTCCCATTGATTGCTACTAAAGCTTTGGAGTATCCTGCGACCCTAAACCCCTCTTGTTAATGTTCTTCAGCAGTAAATACTAAAAAGATATCTCCTAGACTGAGCCTTAGTGGTCAGTGTGCGTACAGTAGAACAGTGCTTCAGACTGGTAGCCTCTGTAGTGTTGTGGGAGACATGAGTACATTCTCAGTGGCCCCTTCGTGGGTAAGCACTAGACTTGAAAGCACAGAAGAGCCTTCTTAAAACAGATGTTATTTAAATGTCTCATTTCCACCACAGATCCCGAACTTTCCTCTCTTTAGGATAATGGGAATATCCATGCAATTTATCCTTTTATGCCCCCGGGCCAGTTGTGCATCCAGAACCATTGGTGTAGAAAGCAAATGCAGCCTAATATTATAGACCATTGATTCCAATCTGCGTACAGCTGTTTTAGGCTTGGTTCCATTCACCGGCCTCCTGTGTCATCACAGTAGAAACCTAGGGGCCATGGAAAGAAACCACAGCAACCAACGAGGGAACAGGCATCTGATACATCAGTTGTTTTCTGTAGATCTAGATAGGGATGAGGAAACCCTTAAATTGTTGAGATTCTGTATAGACAATTTAGCCACACATGTTTTGACATGTATTGGTGGCTTCTCTGTCTGAAGCCACCAGATGTTCCATATGCATTATGTCGTTAAAGAAGTCAATGCACCCTGCGAATGAGTGAATCTTTGTGCATTTCCAGTGTCTGGGGATGGTCTGTCTGGGTAAAAACAGCAAAAATCTCGAAATCATATCTTCAGCATCAGTAATAGAATCAAGAATTTGCATTAGCAACAACACTTTTGGAGAGTTTGGGATGTCATCAAGATAAACGTATTTATAAAGGTCCAGCTTTATACCAGAATAGGATGACATCCCCATGATTATACATGAAGATCATATCCCCCCCCTTATGTATTATACATGGAGATCATATCCCCCTTATGTATTATACATGGTGATCATATCCCATCCTTATGTATTATACATGAAGATCATATCCCCCCCCTTATGTATTATATATGGTGATCATATCCCCCTTATGTATTATACATGGAGATCATATCCCCCCTTATGTATTATACATGGAGATCAATATCCCCCTTATGTATTATACATGGAGATCATATCCCCCTTATGTATTATACATGGAGATCATATCCCCCCTTATGTATTATACATGGAGATCATATATCCCCCTTATGTTATTATACATGGAGATCATATCCCCCCTTATGTATTATACATGGAGATCATATCCCCCCCTTATGTATTATACATGGAGATCATATCCCCCCTTATGTATTATACATGGAGATCATATCCCCCCTTATGTATTATACATGGAGATCATATCCCCCCTTATGTATTATACATGGAGATCATATCCCCCCTTATGTATTATACATGGAGATCATATCCCCCCTTATGTATTATATATGGTGATCATATCCCCCCTTATGTACAGTATTATACATGGAGATCATATCCCCCCCTTATGTATTATACATGGAGATCATATCCCCCCTTATGTATTATACATGGAGATCACATCCCTCCTTATGTATTATACATGGAGATCATACCCCCCTTATGTATTATATATGGTGATCATATCCCCCCTTATGTATTATACATGGAGATCATATCCCCCCTTATGTATTATACATGGAGATCATATCCCCCCCTTATGTATTATACATGAAGATCATATCCCCCCTTATGTATTATACATGGTGATCATATCCCCCTTATGTATTATACATGATGATCATATCCCCCCTAATGTATTATACATGGAGATCATATCCCCCCTTATGTATTATACATGGAGATCATATCCCCCCTTATGTATTATACATGGTGATCATATCCCCCCTTATGTATTATACATGGAGACCATATCCCCCCTTATGTAATATACATGGAGATCATATCCCCCCCTTATGTATTATACATGGAGATCATATCCCCCCTTATGTATTATACATGGAGATCATATCCCCCTTATGTATTATACATGGAGATCATATCCCCCTTATGTATTATACATGGAGATCATATCCCCCTTATTGTATTATACATGGAGATCATATCCCCCTTATGTATTATACATGGAGATCATATCCCCCCTTATGTATTATACATGGAGATCATATCCCCCCTTATGTATTATACATGGAGATCATATCCCCCCTTATGTATTATACATGGTGATCATATCCCCCCTTATGTATTATACATGGAGATCATATCCCCCCTTATGTATTATACATGGAGATCATATCCCCCTTATGTATTATACATGGAGATCATATCCCCCCCTTATGTATTTATACATGGAGATCAATATCCCCCCATATGTATTATACATGTAGAGATCATATCCCCCCTTATGTATTATACACGGAGATCATACCCCCCCTTATGTATTATACATGGAGATCATATCCCCCTTATGTATTATACATGGAGATCATACCCCCCTATGTATTATACATGGAGATCATATCCCCCCTTATGTATTATACATGGAGATCATATCCCCCTTATGTATTATACATGGTGATCATATCCCCCTTTTGTATTATACATGGAGATCATATCCCCCCTTATGTATTATACATGGAGATCATATCCCCCCTTATGTATTATACATGGAGATCATATCCCCCCTTATGTATTAAATACATGGAGATCATATCCCCCTTATGTATTATACATGGAGGATCATATCCCCCTTATGTATTATACATGGAGATCATATCCCCCCTTATGTATTATACATGGAGATCATATCCCCCCTTTATGTATTATACGTGGAGATCATATCCCCCTTATGTATTATACATGGAGATCATATCCCCCCTTATGTCCAGCTCCTTGGACATTGTGAGTAAGACCTGATTTGGAACTGTAGTCTGTGTGCCTGTTCTTGAAAGATTTTTGTCCTCCCATTGATTGCTACTTAAAGCTTTGGAGTATCCTGTGACCCTAAACCCCTCTTGTTAATGTTTCTTCAGCAGTAAATACTAAAAAGATATCTCCTAGACTGAGCCTTAGTGGTCAGTGTGCGTACAGTAGAAACAGTGCTTCAGACTGGTAGCCTCTGTAGTGTTGTGGGAGACATGAGTACATTCTCAGTGGCCCTTCGTGGGTAAGCACTAGACTTGAAAGCACAGAAGAGCCTTCTTAAAACAGATGTTATTTAAATGTCTCATTTCCACCACAGATCCCGAACTTTCCTCTCTTTAGGATAATGGGAATATCCATGCAATTTATCCTTTTATGCCCCCGGGCCAGTTGTGCATCCAGAACCATTGGTGTAGAAAGCAAATGCAGCCTAATATTATAGACCATTTATTCCAAACTGCGTACAGCTGTTTTAGGCTTGGTTCCATTCACCGGCCTCCTGTGTCATCACAGTAGAAACCTAGGGGCCATGGAAAGAAACCACAGCAACCAACGATGGGAACAGGCATCTGATACATCAGTTGTTTTCTGTAGATCTAGATAGGGATGAGAAACCCTTAAATTGTTGAGATTCTGTATAGACAATTTAGCCACACATGTTTTGACATGTATTGGTGGCTTCTCTGTCTGAAGCCACCAGATGTTCCATATGCATTATGTCGTTAAAGAAGTCAATGCACCCTGCGAATGAGTGAATCTTTGTGCATTTCCAGTGTCTGGGGATGGTCTGTCTGGGTAAAAACAGCAAAAATCTCGAAATCATATCTTCAGCATCAGTAATAGAATCAAGAATTTGCATTAGCAACAACACTTTTGGAGAGTTTGGGATGTCATCAAGATAAACGTATTTATAAAGGTCCAGCTTTATACCAGAATAGGATGACATCCCCATGATATGTGCAATAATGAACCAAATACATAGTTACATAGTTAATCTGGCTGAAAAAAGACAGTTGATCCAGAGGAAGGAAAAAAACCCAGCAAAGCACGATCCAATTTGCTCCTGCCTGAATCCCCCGAGAAGCAATTGGGTATTCCCTGGATCAACTTTCCCTATAAATGTTATATCCAGTTATATTCTGTGTATCCAAGAAAGAATCCAGGACTTTCCTACAGCAATCCACTGAGCTGGCCACAACCAACTCTTGAGGGAGTCTATTCCACATTTACTCAGCTCTTACTGTGAAGAAACCTTTCCGTGTTTGGAGATTACATTTCTTTTCCTCCAGACGTAAAGATCATATCCCCCTTATGTATTATACATGGTGATCATATCCCTCCTTATGTATTATACATGAAGATCATATCCCCCCCCTTATGTATTATACATGGAGATCATATCCCCCTTATGTATTATACATGGAGATCATATCCCCCCTTATGTATTATACATGGAGATCATATCCCCCCTTATGTATTATACATGGAGATCATATCCCCCCTTATGTATTATACATGGAGATCATATCCCCCTTATGTATTATACACGGAGATCATATCCCCCTTATGTATTATACATGGAGATCATATCCCCCCTTATGTATTATACATGGAGATCATATCCCCCCCTTATGTATTATACATGGAGATCATATCCCCCCTTATGTATTATACATGGAGATCATATCCCCCCTTATGTATTATACATGGAGATCATTATCCCCCCTTATGTATTATACATGGAGATCATATCCCCCCTTAATTTCCTCTTCTCAAGAGAGAATAAATTAAGTTCCTCTAATCTTTCCTCATAGCTGATCTCCTCCATGCCTCTTATCAGTTTGGTTGCCCTTCTCTGTACTTTCTCCTGTTCTCCAATGTTCTTTCTGTGAATTGGTTGGATGACAGAACCATCAAACATCAGAATTAGTAGGATGGATCGCATGCAACTTAGAGGGTGTGAAATACGATTGGAGGAGTATTTTAAAATTGCTTTCTTGGATTCTGCCAGAAATTGAGGCTTTATGTTTCAATAGGAAAGATTCGTCCCACTCTTCTGGGGAATTTTGTAAGGAACGTTCCAGATTTAAATCTCTTTGTATACACAGGTAGCATTGAAATGCATGAAAGACATAGAGAATATAGCAAGGAAGCCATGTGTATAGGTGCCTCAGTGGGCTCCATAATCTTTGGATTTGCAATAACGTTTTGTTAATTCTATTTAAACCAAAGACAGAGTGGCTTTAACTATATTTGAGGTTTCTCAATACGGATATATGTTTAGTGAGGACAGTCTAGAGCAGTGGTCTCCAAACTGTGACCCCGGAGTCAGACGTGGCCCTTTTCTTGCTTTTATCTGGCCCTCGGGGCACTATTGCATCCATTGATACCAAAAATGGGCCCTAATTCCCCCCACTGACACCAATGATAGGACACAATTCCTCCCAATGATGGCAATGATGGGGCACAATTTCGCCCAATTATGCCAACAATGGGGCCCAAAGATACCAATGATGGGGTGCATTTCCTCCAAATGATGCCAATGACGGGGAGCAATTGCTCCCAATGACACCAATAATGGGGCCCAAAGATTCCAATGATGGGGTGCAATGCCTCCAAATGATGCCAACGATGGGCACAATTTCTCCCAATGACACCAACAATGGGGCCCAAAGATACAAATGATGGGGTGCAATTCCTCCAAATGATGCCAACGACTTGGCACATTTTCTCCCAATGACACCAACAATGGGGCCCAAAAATACCAATGATGGGGTGCATTTCCTCCAAATGATGCCAATGACTGGGCACAATTTCTCCCAATGACACCAACAAAGGGTGCCCATTGATACCAATGGTGGGGCACAATTCCTCCCAAAGACACCAATAACGGGGCACAATTCCTCCCAATGACTCCAACAATGGGGTGCAATTCTTCCTAATGACACCAACAATGGGACACAAGTCCTCCCATTGACATCAAAGATGGGGCTCTGCTTTTTCCCCACTGGACCACAACCCGCCCCCCCCCCAAAGTCTGAAGGGCAACTGTAGTAAACTGGCTCTTTGTGTAGAAAGTTTGGAGACCTCTGGTCTAGAGGAACAGCAGATTTTGGCTGCTAGCCAAAGTTGTAAAATGCAGTCCATAGTCTCACATAACAGGACCATTTTCATCATGGTTCTGTGGAACCCTACAGTTCCTCAAGGGTTGTCTAGGAGTTCCTTGAGCTGTGACTAACTGAACTCCCATCTGATGGTGCCTGCATAGATCCAGGTCCAACATCACTTGGCAAAGCCAGTGTCATGACTGCAAGGGTGTCATTCTGCTACCCCTGTAAGGTGGGCATTCATCCCACTTATCCCAACCAATGTAAAAGACATTTTCCCAATGACCTCCAATAGACTAATCTTACCAGGGGTTTCCTGAGTAGTAAACTGGCTCTTTGTGTAGAAAGTTGGAGACCTCTGGTCTAGAGGAACATTAGATTTTGGCTGCTAGCCAAAGTTGTAAAATGCAGTCCATAGTCTCACATAACAGGACCATTTTCATCACGGTTCCGTGGAACCCTACAGTTCCTCAAGGGTTGTCTAGGAGTTCCTTGAGCTGTGACTAACTAAACTCCCATCTGATGGTGCCTGCATAGATCCAGGTCCAACATCACTTGACAGAGCCAGCGTCATGACTGCAAGGTGTCATTCTGCTACCCCTGTAAGGTGGGCATTCATCCCACGTATACCAACCAATGAAAAAGACATTTTCCCAATGACCCCCAATAGACTAATCTTACCAGGGGTTTCCTGAGATCTCAAAATCATTCAAAGGGCAATATGGGGTAAAAAGGTTAACAAAAGGCTTCAACAGAGGGTCACCCTGTCAATGGCACCCCAAAACTGAGTTTTCTTTTCTTGACCAAGGCAGTCCTTTAACATTGAGTACATTGATGCAGTGACACTGGTCTTGTTGTCCAATGAGATTTATGATGAACATATATAAGGTACTATGACACCACTGTATCAGGGACCTGTCCCTCTATAGTCACAATTTGTGTCGTCATTCCCACTCTTCCCGTGTCATAGGTGAAATCTGCGGATTCCGGATTCATGGAGCTGGAACTCCCTTTGAAGCTGTCGTTCTTGACCGAACAACAGGGGAAGGTCTGATCCGTGCCAAGGGCCCCGTTGACTGTGAGGCACAACGAGAGCACACCTTCACTATCCAGGCTCATGACTGTGGAGAAGGTCCTGATGGAGCAAACAGCAAGAAGTCCCACAAGTTAGTCAAATATCCATGTTGTCTTCTTCCCCTAACAATCTTTAGGACCTTGTTACCTTTTTAACTTGTCATTTCAGTTGGTATAGAGCTGTATGTTTTAAAACTGAACTCTGGGATAAGTCAATATTTAATAAATCCATTTGTCATGTGTGTTCCTCCTTGAATCTCGGAGAGCTTCATGTATTTCTTCTAGATCTGTGCAGTAATCCAGCGTGAGACTTCTTTAAACAGACCACTCACTGCTGCTCTCTCTCCTTGCTCAGGGTGACTGGTCTTGTCTCCGCCCCTTCCTGTAGTTTTTTGTAGTAGGTGGGCCCAGGCCCCTCCCACAGCTCTGCCCTCTGCACAGTGATGAGGTCACAGCTACTGGTTATTTCTGGGTTTGCAAAGGTGTGTGGAGCACACAAAATGGGTTTTATATCATTTGTGGCTATTGAGGAATATATTTAAATTAATGATTTTGTGCTCAGGGTTCAGCTATAAACAGTTGCAATTTTTTTATTAGAATGCTTGTTTTCACCTGTATTTTATCTATTCATGCTATTCTATTCTATTCTATTCTATTCTTCATTTTACATCATTTCATGCCAATCTTCCACAGCCTTCCCATATGGAAGAAAAATATATTTTAAAAATATTCTTCCCAAATACATTGCAATATATTTGAAATGCTACAAATTTGCCCATATTCAATATATTTCAAAATATATTTCAGTATTTCAATAAATAAATATATATATATACTGCATGTTGAAATGCATTTTTATTACAAAATATATGAAAAATATTTTTAAAAATACATTTTCAAATATACTGTATGTCTTTAAAAATACAAATCTACACTTTTGGAATGCATTTACAAATATATGTAAAAATATATGTTAAAATGACTTTTTTATATATTAAAAAAAATCTGAAAGATATATTTAAAAAAAATATATTTTTGTCATTTAAGTGCCATGGATAGCCCCTGTGTGGGCGCACCTTTTGCTCTGTTGGTGTTAGAGCATTGTTTTTTCAAAATTTTATGTACAATTGATAGCCCCTGCTTGGGCACGATTTGTTGCTCCTGTGTTAAACTGTTTAAAAATTAATAAAAACCACTGAAATACAAAAAATATTTTTTTAAAAAACATATTTTTTTAAATAAATTGTTCCAGATTTTTTTTTTATATAAAAAAAGTAATTTTAACACATATATTTGTTTTCAAATATATGTTAAAAGTGGGCAAGATTTGTTGCTCCTGTGTTAAACTGTTTAAAAATTAATAAAAACCAATGAAATACAAAAAAATATTTTTTTAAAAAACATATTTTTTTAAATATATTGTTCAGATTTTTTTTTTTAACATGCAAAAAGTAATTTTAACATATATTTTTTGCATAGATTTGTAAATGCATTCTAAAAATGTAGATTTGTATTTTTAAAGACATTATAGTATATTTGAAATGTATTTTTAAAAATATTTGTCATATATTTTGTAAAAAAAAAAACGCATTTCAGCAATCCGTATATACATATATATTTATTGAAATATATTTTGAAATATATTGAATATGGCCAAAATTGTAGCATTTCAACTATATGGCAATGTATTTGGGAAGAATATTTTTTGAAAATATATTTCAAATATATTTTTCTTTCATGTGGGTTTTTACAGCCAATTCCTGTCTGCATGCACTCCAATGAGGAATGCAAGGCATTTCTCAGCACGGGTTTGCTGATGGTGACAACACTGAAGAATGTCTCCATATTGTCGCATCCATCGAAAGCCTGCCTGAAATAGCGACAACCATTATTACTGACCATTTGGCCACTCGGGCACTGCCCGAGGGCCCGGGGGTCAGTAAGGGGCCCCATGAAGTGCCCCTGGTACCTTTAATTGGCTTTTTTGGGTGTGGTTGAGTGTTGGTGAGGGCACAGGGGCCACATGCAAAACCTATTGCCCGGGGGCCCCATGAGTTGTCAGTCTGTCCCTGTTTGCCAATTATAGGGATATTCAATGCTGGAGGTGCCGAAACTGCATTCCCCCACGTTACTGCTGAAACAAAAAAAGCTCTGACTGAGAGGATGTCATCAGTTTGCTCGGGCACTGCAGGAGGGCCCAGGGTCAGTAGGGGCCCCATGAATGGCTGTGGGAGGACACAGGGGCCCCATGATCCCCTATTACCCAGAGGCCCCATGAGTTGTCAGTCCGCCCCTGGCGACAACATAGGAGCATAACTTGAAGAGAGGAAAGCGTTGTCACCCTCTAACAGGAGTGCCTCAACAGGGCCCTACTATGGCAGAGACCAGGAGGTTTTTAATAACAGCTGTGATTTTCAAATTATGGACCTAATTATATGAGATTTTATTGATTGGATCTATTTTAAAGGGTAATTAAAATAAAAAAACAATCTGGGTAAACCATGTACATTGCGGGGATCTCAACGAACTTTGTATGAGATTCCGACCTTTTGTTGCTTTGAAGAAATGCCAGCTAGTTCGGTCGGGCAGTATGGTGGACATTTTATCACATTCTTTGCAGACTGAATGGAAGGAACTGCTTTATTCTAATCACCTGATGAACTTTCTGTGTACCATTGAGGGATGCAGGCCATAGATGGGTCGAAAATCGGCCTATTTTTCGGCCGAAAATAAAATCGGCCGATTTTCGGATCGTTAGTGGGCTATTTGTTCGGCCACTGTATTTTGGCAGATTTTTTTTTGGTAAAGTTGGAAAAAAATCTGCCGATTTTGCCGATCGGCCGATTTTCACGGCAATGATGGTGCAAATTGGCCGATTTTTTAGCCGATAAAAAATCTGTGCATGAGCATGACCTGCAAGAGGAAGACAAAAAGAAGAAAAAGAAGAATAAGAAGAGCAGAAGAAAAAGAAGAAGAGGAGTGATGAAGAGAGATGATGATGAAGAAGAAGAGGATGTGATGATGAAGAAGAAGAGGATGATAATGATGAAGAAGAGGATGATGAAGAAGAAGAAGAGGATGATGATGATGCATGATGAAGAAGAAGAGGATGATGATGATGAAGAAGAAGAAGAAGAGGATGAAGAAGAAGAAGAGGATGATGAAGAAGAGGATGATGATGATTGAAGAAGAAGAAGATGATGAAGAAGAAGAAGAGGATGATGATGAAGAAGAAGAACAAGAGGATGATGAAGAAGAAGATGATGATGAAGAGAAGAAGAAGAAGAAGAACAGGATGATGATGATGAAGAAGAAGAAGAGATGATGATGAAGAAGAAGAAGATGAAAAATAAGAGGAATTCCAGTCCAGCAAAAAGTGTCCCTGCAGAGAGCTCCGCTATTTCTTTGACAGTTCCTTTACATTTGCAGCGGTTGCAACATTGTATCTATTTGTTTCCGAATAAAAACATCTGCATCCTAAATGGATACAAATAGATACATTGTTTGCAACCCCTATAAATGTCAAAGAACTGTCAAAGAAATAGCAGAGCTCTCTGCAGGGACACTTTTTGCCGGCTGTAGACAGGATGAAAATCGGCACAATTTTTTTTTACCATTGCTGGTAACGTCGGTTGCTTGAACGACCGATTTTTTATTTTTTGAAAGACAAATCGGCCGTTTTTTCTCCCCGTTATGTGTACTGCATTAAGCTGCAGTGTCAGCATCCCTTTAGAAGTATTTCACCCTTCGGGAACATCTCGCCAAAACTAAAATTCCTATTGAAAGGAGTGCCACAAATCTGACTTCTGGGAATATCAGTGAGCCGATGACACAAATAGGAAATGACATTTCAAGGGCTGTTCTTGATATCAACGTTTCAAAATGTCACTTTTATTTAAAGAAAAAAAAAAAACCTGTGATAATTTCTTGCTTTTCTCCTTTTCACCAGGAAAGTATTAACCCCCTTTTTACGTCAATCTTATCGTTTTCGTACGATGGCTCTCGTTTCACACCTGTCTGACTACTAATTAGATGTACTGCCGTGGATATATTTACCCTTCTAATCTCACACTCTCGCTTTCATGTCTGTTATAGAGCAACGGTACATGTCCGCGTGAATGACGTCAACGAGTTTGCCCCAGTCTTTGGAGAGCGGGTGTTCCGGGCCTCTGTCACCGAGGGGCGTATGTACGAGCGTGTGTTGCGTGTGCAGGCATGGGACCAGGACTGCTCCCCTCAGTACAGTCCAGGTCTGCTTCTATCAGATCCTGACCCCCAATGTGCCCTTCACCATCGACAATGACGGTAAGTTGTGCCAGGGTTATATTGTCCTATCTTGCTGCACAGATGATTTAATGTTCTCATCAGGGCTCAGCAGATCCAGATTTTACACCCCATTTTTTTTTCTTGTGGCAACCGTTGTTATACTCTATGGCCAAATATAATTGGATGACCCTCCAAGGTGTTGGGTGGAAGTGTTTCCAGTAAAGGGAACTGTTAATGATAGAGAATACAAAGACATTTTAGACAATTGTGGAGTTCCAACCTTGTGGTAACCCCTTGGTGAAGGCCTTTTTCTGCTCCATATGACCTTTCTCCCTTTGCAGCAAAGCCATCTTTATAAGAATGGTATGATTTGATGAGTTTGAGGTGGAGGAGCTTGAGTGACCTGCACAGAACACTGACCTAACCCTACTGAATGCTGCTGATGTGTTTTAGGGTTCTGCCCCACAATTCAGATACTGATTGTACTTTTCCGTTTTAGTAGTCCTGTGCTTTATACATTATTTTGCCCAAAGTTTGAAGACACTTGACCATCAAGTGAAAGTTCGAGTTGCCAAACATCAGCCACCAAACCTTAATGACTTGGAGAGGATCTGCCAAGAGGAGTGGGCCAAAATCCCTCCTGAGATGTGTGCAAACCTGGTGGCCAACTCCAGGAAACGTCTGACCTCTGTGATTGCCAACAAGGGATTGGCCACCAAGTACTAAGTCATGTTTTGTGAAGGGGATCAAATCCTTATTTCCCTCATGAACATGCAAATCAGTCATAATTTGTTAGACATGCAATTTCTTTTGAATTTGTTGTTGCTATCGGTCTCTCAGTGTTTGCAATACACCGAACATTCGATTTTTAGACCGATCATTCTTTGTGAGGGGCAAACATTCAAAATCAGCCAGGGAGAAAATATGCATTTCCTTCACTGTACCTACTGCATTTCCAAAGGTACGTGGGATAGCCCTCCTTACTGAGTTCAGGGTGTCTTCAGCGAAGGGTGCTAGTAAGGATTCAGCATGTAAAAACACTTTGGACTTTGTGGTAACAATTTGGTGAAGACCCATTTCTATTACAGCATGACTGTGGCCAGTGCTGGGAAGAGGTCATCTAGAGCCCAGGGTGAACATATCAAATTGCATGCCCTACCCCCGAGATGTATGCGCAATATGTGTCAGCAAACTCCCTCCCCCCCCCCCAAAAAAAAAAAATTGAGCACTAATCTGCATGCTTACCCCGAAACATATATTCCCTCTCCTCCCAGTATAAATCTACCTTCCTGCTGAAATACCCCCATCCAGCACAAATCTTTACCACCCCTATCCCCCCCCCCCCAGCTCACATCCTCTCTTTCCCCATATGCCCCCAGAACAAATTTCCCCCACAAATCTACTGTTCTCAAACTCCCCTCCCAAGCACAAATCCTCCCCCCCACTCCAAATCCATCCTCCCAGCATTACTACCCATTCCCCATCCTAGCACAAATCCCCCCCCCCACACACAGAAAATTTCCCCCAATCATCCTTACTAGCACAAATCCCCCCCCCCCCCAAAAAAAAAAAAAGTAGTGCAACATCCCATATTACTTTTATAACACAAACACTCCTTTTCCACTTCCTAGCACAAATCATTTTCCCAATCCCCCCTCCCAACACAAATCTCCTCAAATCATTGCTCCTAGCACACATCTCTCCAAATTTCCCCTCCTAGAACAATTTATGACCACCTGCTGACACCCCCCCCCCCCCACACACACACACACACACACACCAAATTCCCCTGCTCATGAAAAATCCCCTCTCCTTGTGGTGCCCCCTCCCATCTCACATTATATCACAGTGCCCAGGACAGCTGCCCCCCCCCCGCCCACCCCTTGTCCCTTGCCATGACTGTGGCCCTGTGTGCAAATCCAGCTCAACAAAGAGATGGTTTGATGAGTTGTGTATAGATGAACTCAAGTTTCCTGCACAGAGCCCTGACCTCAATCTTACTAAACACCTTTGGGATAAATTGGAACTCCAATTGCAAGCCAGGTCTTCTCATCTAACCCCAGTACCAGACTTCACAAATATCTTTTGGACAAGTGGGCACAAATTCACAGACAGACACACTCCAAACTCTTGTGTCTTCCCAGAAGAGTGGAGGTTGTATAGCCACATGGAAAGACCAACTCCGTAACGGCCATGATTTTTAAATGAAACCTCCACACTTCGGTAAAGGCCTGTTTTTGTTCCAGCATGACTGTGCCCATATGTACAAAGCCAGTTCCATGAGGACATGATGAGTTTGGTATGGAAGAACTCGTGTGTCCTGCACAGATCCCTGACCTCAACCACACTGAACACCTTTGGGATGAACTGGAGCTCCGATTACAAGCCAGGTCTTCTCATCTAACTTCAGAACCTGACTTCACAAAATGTTCTTTCAAATTTACTGGCACATGCCAAAATCTTGTGGAAAGTCTTTCCAGAAGAGTGGAGGATGTTCTAGTCCAGCAATGGGCAAACTACGGCCCGCGGGCCGTATACGGCCCGGCGGACCTTTTAATCCGGCCCGCGGAGCTAGGCTCCCGCAAGGCCAGTGGTCGGCAAGCCGCGGCTCTTTACAAATTTAGATGCGGCTCTCCTGTGTGCCGGGCGCCCGCTCCCCTCCCTCCTCTCCCCTCCCCTCCTCTCCCCTCCCCTCCTCTCCTCTCGGATGGCCGCCCCCCCTCTCGGATGGCCGCCCCCCTCCCTCCTCTCGGACGTCAGGACTCTGCAGCTGTCAGGATGTAGGCGGGGCAGCCAGGAGTAGGCGGGGCAGCGTGACGAACTCCTCTCACAGTCCTCCCTGAAGACCAGAACGGCGCGGGAATACGAGAGGAACGCGCGGACCAAAGGTAAGTGAATTGACACAGGGGGGGGACTTACTATATGGGGGATGAATTACTATATGGGGGACTTACTATATGGGGAATGAATTACTATATGGAGGACTTACTATATGGGGAATGAATTACTATATGGAGGACTTACTATATGGGGAATGAATTACTATATGGGGGACTTACTATATGGGGAATGAATTACTATATGGGGGACTTACTATATGGGGAATGAATTACTATATGGGGGACTTACTATATGGGGGATTTTACTATATGGGGGATGAATTAATATGGGGGATGAATTAATATGGGGGATGAATTACTATGTGGGGGATGAATTACTATGGGGGATGAATTACTATATGGGGATGAATTACTATGGGGGATGAATTACTATAGGGGGGATGAATTACTATGGGGGACGAATTACTATATGGGGACGAATTACTATATGGGGGACGAATTACTATATGGGGGATGAATTACTATGGGGGGATGAATTACTATATGGGGATGAATTACTATGGGGGATGAATTACTATATGGGGGATTAATTACTATGGGGGAAATTACTATGCTTACTATGGGGGAATATTACTAATACTTACTATGGATGACACATACACATCATTCATCTACTCTTGGTCCGGCCCCCGGGTCCAATATATGAACCCATTGCGGCCCTCAAGTCAAAAAGTTTGCCCACCCCCTGTTCTAGTCACATAGAAAGACCAACTCCATAAAAAAGGTCATAGTTTTGAAATTAAACACCTAACAGTTTGGTAAAGGCCCATTTCTGCTCCTGCATTGCTGTTTCTCTGTGTACAAAGCCAGCTCCATAAAGTTTATTGAGTTTGGTGCAGAGGAACTGGAGTGGCATGTAAGGAGCCCTAACCTCAAACCTTCTGAACACCTTTGTGATGAACTGGTTTGCTAGGTCTTCTCGTCCAACATCAGCACCTGACCTCACAGATGTTCTTGTGGATGAATTGGCACAAATTCCCACGTACACCCTCCAAAATCTTACGGAAAATTTGCCCAGAAGAGTGAAGGATGTTATAGCGGCAAAGGGGAACCAACTCCATAATAATGGCCATAGTTTTAGAATGGCCTGTCCAAAAAAAAACGAATGTAGGTGGGATAGTGAGGAGTCCACAAATGTTTGGCCATATAGTGAATCTCTGTGGGCTCATTGTCACATTGTGGACTGATTGTTTTATGGGGAACAGCTGATATTCCAGCGTAAGACCAGGTGCCTAAGCTTAGAGCAAGGACATGATGGATATACACTAACCGGCCACTTTATTAGGTCCACCTTGCTAGTACCGGGTTGGACCCCCTTTTGCCTTCAGAACTGCCTTAATTCTTCATGGCGTAGATGCAACAAGGTGTTGGAAACATTCCACAGAGATTTTGGCCCATATTGACATGAGTTACTATTGCCTTTCTATCATCTCCAACCAGTCTGCCCATTCTCCTCTGACCTCTGACATCAACATATTTCTGGATATTTTCTCTTTTTTGGACCATTCTCTGTAAACCCTAGAGATGGTTGTGAGTGAAAATCCCAGTAGATCAGCAGTTTTTGAAATACTCAGACCACCCCCCCTGGCACCAACAACCATGCCACGTTCAAAGCCACTTAAATCCCCTTTCTTCCCAATTCTGATGCTCAGTTTGAACTTCAGCAAGTTGTCTTCACCACATCTTGATGCCTAAATGCATTTTATTGCTGCCATGTGATTGGCTGATTAGCAGTTTGTGTTACCAAGCAATTGAACCGGTGTACCTAATAAAGTGGCCGGAGAGTTTAGAACTCGTATGCTCATGCAAACATCGATCACTTTGATCATGTCTGGGCGTGGATTTTATTCTCGCTCACTGAGAATGATGGGTGAAGAGGAGCCTGTCCATTCCTATTCAATTCATGCCACTGCAATGTTCTTGACCAACAAATGGAAGTGGTTTATGAAGATAATCCCCAACTCCAGACCAAACCTTGTTGAAAATTTGGAAACTAAGGCAGGTTTTTATTGCCATCTGTGTCCCTGTTTAGGAGATTCGCTCTCATCTAATGTCAAGACAAGTGATGATTTCTTTGTTCTACAGGAATAGAAAGAAGAAAAATGATTTTTTAGTAAAGAGGGGAGGGTAAAAATTTTTTATAGAAGTTACTACCTTTGTGTCCCAGTGATGACCACAACCCCATTTCTTGTACAGGTGTCCCAGGAACAGGAAGTGAGGGAAAATCTCCCTAATGGGGACCCCCAGCTAAGGTTTTAACTCTTTCTCACTCTTTTCAACAGCAAGAAAAAGTTTGCAAAATGTGCTTTAGCATTTTTTTAAAAGCCCACCATCTACACTTGTACTCAATGGCTTTATTCAGTACCTGGAATATCTTGAAGTGGCTGGTAAAAGACAAAGGTTAAACAAAACTTTAAAATACTCCATGTGCAGCAAAAAAAACACTTGGACTTAAAGCTGAAATTTAAAGAAGAAATGCTGGAAAATATTTTATTTTCCCATGCAGTGAGCTATGCCTGCACTGCATGGGTTAAATGCTCATTCTTGTCTAGGGGCTCTGAAGGTGAAGATATAATTACCTAATCCGCTGATCCTCAGAGAACAAGACCAGTTCCCACCTCTCCTGCTGTGAATGGACTGTTCCTGACGTCATCACGCCCATAGACCAGCTCTTGACATGAGGACGGCAGGAACAGTCCACTGCTGGATGTGGGGTAGCGCGCTTTTCTAGAGGATTGGAGGACAGAGTAAGTACAGCTTATCCCTGAGCCCTATACAAAATGATCACTTACCTAGTGCAGTGCAGGCACAACCCCACAACATTTTCCCCGGAGTTCTGCTTTAATCTGTGTGTGTTTTGCCTTTCCTGGTTCCTCATTTCCTGCTTCATCAGCATGATAATTACTAAAAAATAAACTCTTTCTTTTATCATGACATTCTTTATTTTAAAACCAATGATGTCATCAATGGGTCTCTGTGCTTCTGTATGCAATACAGGCAGATCATAGCTGGTGGGTGGGGTCAGCAGGGTGCTTCCTAGTATCGGGTTGTACCCCCTTTTGCCTTGCTAGTACCTGGTTGGACCCCCTTTTGCCTTCAGAACGGCAACAGTAACTCATGTCAATATGGTCCAAAATCTCTGAGGAATGTTTTCAACACCTTGTTGAATCTACGCCATGAAGAATTAAGGCAGTTCTGAAGGCAAAAGGGGGTCCAACCCGGTACTAGCAAGGTGCCTCTGTGCACCTCTATGGAGCCCTCATCCCCGACTGGAGCAGTGGGATGGCTCTTGGGAGGAGTTATGCAAATACCAGAATGGTTTGATGAGTGGAGGAATTGGAGGAAGGCTGTCTTTGCATGCAGATTGTCCCCGGTGATTATGAGCCTCCATGATTCATAAACTGGAACCCCGAATGGAAGGGGCAGGCCGGGGACAGTCAGGCTGGGGATGGAACAGGATTAATGATGCTGGACATCCTCCAGCCAGGCAAGGAGGCAGGTTCTATCTGACTTGCTGCAGCTTCTGATGCACATTGTGAGCAGCTCACAGTGTGCAGTGAAATCAGAGTAAACCATTTTAGTCCAGGAGAGGAGCCAGTACAACTGTGCAAGACTGAAGGTAAGGTTGGAGGTCAGATTTAAAACCGAAAAAGTATCAGGATGAAAAGTCAGCGCTTCAGTAGCATCCACAAAGAAATCTCCTCTATTGCTAAGAACGATGTATATAATCAATGGATGAGGCCAACGCGTTTCGGCTGGTGTTGGTGTTCCTTACCAATAAAGGAGATTTGTTTGTGGATCGTCATGTTTGTTTGTTTCATCGTGATACAACGTTGAAAAAAGTTTTGTCTAGAGTTGAGGTTCAATGTACCGTTGTTTGTGTCCTCATAGACCTCAGATGTCACTTGAATTGTGTCTGTAGGTTATATAAAGAACACTCAGCCTCTGCAAGCCAATGGTGACAGGTTGATCAGATTCACGGTGACGGCATATGACTGTGGCAAGAAACGGGCCGTGGAGGATGCAGAGGTGGAGATCCAGGTGAAGCCCATCTGCAAGCCCAGCTGGAAAGGTAACCACATGTACAAAATGAGCCACCCTCTGTGGACCTTCAAACATCAAACTCTGTGGACCTTGTGTCATCAAACTGACTTCTTAGCATTAGCTAGCACAGCCTTTCTCAACCAGGGTGCCCAGGCATCCTGGGGTGCCTTGAGGTTTCCTCAGGGGTGCCTTAAGGTTTCTTCAGGGGTGCCTTGAGGTTTCCGCAGGGGTGCCTTGAGGTTTCTTCAGGGGTGCCTTGAGGTTTCCTCAGGGGGTGCCTTGAGGTTTCTTCAGGGGTGCCTTGAGGTTTTTCAGGGGTGCCTTGGCAAGATGTCTAAAAATTGGCCAAAACTTGTATACAAGCCAGTGAATGGAACAAGCCCACAGGTATTCATTGTGCACCAGTACGACCTTCTAGCCGCTGGCGTCCTGACAACCGATGACATCATCAGTTGATAAGGAGGATGTCAGCTGCCTGCACAGCATCCTAGTGTGACCCTCCCCCGCCCCTCTCCATCAGTACTGGGGTCACATTAGCTCAGTGATGGAGAAAAACTGAGGGAGAGGAGAAACATTGGCATACTAGTCAGTACCAGTGTGCAAAAGTGTATTTGCTTTGGAAGAATAAATCCCCTCTAATGTTGGGTGTGCTATGTGTGTGGATGTTGCTGCGTTATATAGAACTATTAGAATAGTTTTTCACATTTTAGAATGGGGTGCCTCAAGACTGTCCAGTATTTTAAAGGGTGCCTCAGGACTGTCCATAATTTTAAAGGGTGCCTCGGGACCGTCCATCATTTTAAAGCGTGCCTCGGGACTGTCTATCATTTTAAAGGATACCTCGGGACTGTCCATCATTTTAAAGAGTGCCTCGGGACTGTCCATCATTTTAAAGGGTGCCTCGGGACTGTCCATCATTTTAAAGGGTGCCTTGAGTTAAAAAAGGTTGAGAAACACTGAGCTAGCAACATCTGCCTGTTCCTTAACCCCTCGCCCTCCAGAGGTTTAACCCCCCCCCCCCTTCCTGACCAGACCATTTTTTGTGATAGGGCACTGCGTTAATTTTTTTTAATAGTGATGGTGGTGATAGCGGGACCGCGGCGGGCATTGTGACACTGGGGGGAACTGACTTGGTGTCACTGACATCTCCAGTGATCAGTGCTAATAAAAAGCACTGACACTGTACTAATGGCACTGGGCAGAAAGGAGTTAACATGTTGGGCGATCAAAGGGTTAACTGTGTGCAGGGTGTGTTTTACTGTGTGCTGTGTGTGTTTCATTGAAGCACACTGCTTTGTATGGTTATGCTATGCAGAGCCATACAAAGCAGTGTGCAGGAGCTGACAGGGGAGAGATCTGTGTTGTTTATACACAGTTCTCTCCCCCATCAGAGATACTCAGCGATCACTGGGTGCCGTCGATAAATCACTAGCTGGGACCCGGTGATTGACAGCCGAGGCCACGAATGGCAGTGCGGGAACTGATTTACGTGATTTTGCGCACCCGTGCTGCCCTGTAGCAGTATTTCTGCTATAGGGCGTAGCAGAAGCGGTTAAAGTGGTTGTAATCCCTTCCATATACCCAGTGAAGTGACTGGCCTCAGATGATACGCAGAGTTGAAACAAATCCTCCTACATAAGTTGTACCCATTTATCTGCATTCTGCTCTTCTCTACATCTGTTCAAATTCCGGAATTTATAAAGCTTGTCTGACCTGTCAGAAAACAGGGGACAGAGAGCTGAAGTCACACTCTGCAGAGTTCAGTGAGGAGAGCTCTGATAGCTGATTGGAAGGAAGGGAAATAACCCCTTCACAGGGTACCCAGGAAAAGAGCTGAGGCTGTCAGTCACAGGTTGTGTGCTGGAGCTCCCTCCCCCTGTCACTGTTTTTCTTTTGGTGTCAGGAAAACCTGTCAGAAGTGACACATGCAGAGAGCAGAGGAAGGAGGCAGCAGACAGAAATGACATTTAGTGCTCTGGATTCAGACAAGTACACACAATAGAGGGATATGCTTTGTTCACATTTCATGTCTGACATTTTAAACCACTTTATTCAGCCAATTTGGAATGTTGCATTTTTTTAAACGTATGTAACCCCTTACAATGTACTTCAGACCTGCCCACCTGTCCATATCTGTGGACTACAGGACCCCCCACCCCTATGAAATGGCAAAGAGGAGAGGGGAAGATGTTCTGTAGTCTTGTCGCTAAGTGACAACGCTGCTCCTCAATTCAGTACAGTGAGAGAGTGTTGTCACCCTAGGACAGGAAGTGTGTTACTGGCAGGATCACCAGGTCAAAATATAGGAGGAAAACTAATGCAGTCACCAATCTAAGGACTGGTAAGCTGCTATATGTTACATTTTTTTTTTTTGGGTTTAGATGCACTTTAAGCACAGTTAGTAGTGTGGTTTAGGTGGTATTTGTGATGTTTCAGTGTAAGCACTAATTTTTAGTGGGGCTTTGGAAACATGGACTTAACAATGTTCTGACAGCGCATGCTCTGATGATGCTTTATGCGTGTGCAGTGTCTGGGCTCTGACAGTGCGTGTTCTGACGGTGTGTGCTGTTTCAGTGTATGCTCTTTCTGTGTGTGGTGTCTGGTCTCTGACAGTGCGTGTTCTGACTGTGTGCTCTGACAGTGTATGCATAGTATCTGGGCTCTGACAGTGTATGCTCTGACGGTTCATGTTCTGGTGGTGCATGCTCTGACAGTGTGTGCTGTGTCATTGTATGCTCTTTCTGTGTGTGGTATCTGGTCTCTGACCGTGTGTGCTCTGACTGTTCATGTCTGGTGGTGCATGCTCTGACAGTGTGTGCTATGACATTGTATGCTCTTTCTGTGTGTGGTGTCTGGTCTCTGACAGTGCGTGCTCTGACAGTGTGTGCTCTGACAGTGTATGTTAGTATCTGGGCTCTGACAGTGTATGCTCTGACGGTTCATGTTCTGGTGGTGCATGCTCTGACAGTGTGTGCTGTGTGTCAGTGTATGCGCTTTCTGTGTGTGTTATCTGGTCTCTGACAGTGTGTGCTCTGACTGTTCATGTCTGGTGGTGCATGCTCTGACAGTGTGTGCTGTGACATTGTATGCTCTTTCTGTGTGTGGTGTCTGGGCTCTGACAGTGTATGCTCTGACGGTTCATATTCTGGTGGTGCATGCTCTGACAGTGTGTGCTGTGACATTGTATGCTCTTTCTGTGTGTGGTGTGTCTGGTGTCTGACAGTGTATGATCTGACGGTTCATGTTCTGGTGGTGCATGCTCTGACAGTGTGTGCTGTGTCAGTGTATGCTGTGTGTGGTGTCTGGTCTCTGACCGTGTGTGCTCTGACTGTTCATGTCTGGTGGTGCATGCTCTGACAGTATGTGCTGTGACATTGTATACTCTTTATGTGTGTGATGTCTGGTGTCTGACAGTGTATGATCTGACGGTTCATGTTCTGGTGGTGCATGCTCTGACAGTGTGTGCTGTGTCAGTGTATGCTGTGTGTGGTGTCTGGTCTCTGACCGTGTGTGCTCTGACGCTTCATGTTCTTGTGGTGCATGCTCTGACAGTGTGTGCTGTGACATTGTATACTCTTTATGTGTGTACAGTGTCTGGGTTCTGGGTACTTTTTCTATGTAGGCATTGTCTGCACTTTGACTGTCTCTCTACCCCCCCATCCTGGGGAGATCGTGCTTCATCTATAGCACCTTAACTTCCACCGTGTGCATACAGCTACCTGACAGCTCTGCTCTCTTCCCCAACAGGCTGGAACAAACGCATTGAGTACGTACCTGGCACCGGCAGCCTGGCATTATTTCCCAGCATTCACCTAGAGACCTGCGAGGAGCCAATATGGAACATTCAGGCTACTGTGGAGATCCAAACCAGTCACATCGCCAAGGGCTGCGATCGGGACAACTACTCCGAGAAATCATTACGCAAGCTGTGCGGTACGTCAGTCATAGAACAGTAGAAACTGAAAGGGATAACAATAGGGAACCGATTTGAAAAAAAAAAAATTTGCTGGACAAATGTCACAAACATTCACCCAACTGTTACAGAGTATCCCCAAAATACCCCACCGATCTTGTCTCCAAACATCAACTCCGCTCCTCACACAACCTCCTGCTCTCTAGCTCCCTTGTCTCCTCCTCCCATGCTCATCTCCAGGACTTCTCCAGAGCTTCCCCCATCCTCTGGAACTCTCTACCCCAGTTTATCAGACTATCACCTACTCTGCTCACTTTTAGGCAATCTCTGAAAACCTATCTCTTCAGAAAAGCCTATCCTGCCCTCAGCTAATAATGAAATCTTGTACTCTTCCAGCCAGTCCATCCCCAACAGTTACTACCTTTTGTAGCCCCTCCCTCCTAGATTGTAAGCTCCCAGGATCAGGGCCCTCCTATCCCTCTTGTATTGAACTGTATTGTCTCCCGTTATATTGTAAAGGGCTGTTGGTGCCATAAATCCTGTATATCAATAATCCCCCCATATTTTGCCTGATATGATTATTTCCTATGATTGTCATTGGTGAAATTTTTCGTAATAGATAATTACCCAGCAGTCTTCAACATATTGTAATAGTGATTTATTACAAAATCATTTTTTTTCTTTTTTTCCTTCTAGGAGCTGCTGCCGGAGATGTTGACTTACTCCCTCCCCCCAGCCCATTATATAACTGGACACACAGCCTGCCCATACAGGATACACAGGACAGCAGCCCAGTCTACTGGTTCAATGGATCCCAGTCAGTGGAAGTTCCTCCTGGGCGGTTACCTGCAGGGGGCGGAGCAGCGGATCACCTGACTCTTTCTTTTTGGCTGAAACATGCAGGGGGAAGTGGAGGGAAGGCAGGAAAGGAAGAGGAAGTGTTGCTGTGTAACACGGTACAAAATGGTAAGAACAAAGGGATGTTCTAAGGGGTGTCATTGCAAATTAGATTTTTTTTTTTTTTACGTTTTTATATTTTTAAATTCACATATAATGTCTTTGTAAACATTTATTAAATGGACAGAGCCATCTGATAAGTGATGTTCTACTGTTATCTTTCCCTTGTGTGTTTAAATTTGAGCTTGAACTATTGTAGTCTGTAAACAGTGGGCTTTTGTTTCAGAATGGCTAAACACATGAAAAGGAGTATAGAGCTCCACCTACTGGCTAAAAAAATACTATATTGTGCTTGTATAAAATGATTAATGTACTTAGAAAAATATTATATTTGTAGTCCTTACACTAATAAATAGATATATGAAGGAAAACATGTACAACCCTACTATACATTGTTCTTAAGGGGGAAGTGTAGTGTGAATTGGAGAAAGCTGGAAGCTGATTGGCTGATTTGAATAACTCAGATCATTTCCCCTAGCTGTTATATTGTATACAGTATATGAAACCAATGCAGTGTAGGTGGTGTGGTCTAGTGGATGGGATCTAGGTTTGAACCTTCTGGTTCCAACAACTAACGCAGTGCTCTGTACAGAAGTATTTTGTTGCTTTTTTTTCACATCCTGCATTTTTGTGTTCTGCCCCCCTCTCCTCTCCTCTCCTGTGAAAAGATGGCAGCTTCTCACATTATACTCTGGCGGTTCACGGTTGCCGAATCTCCTTCCTCTACTGGTCCCTATTGGACAGCGCCCGTCCCGTCAAGTTCCTCTGGAAACTAGAACAGGTAATTACATGAGAACAGCCATACTGGGAGGGCCCAAAAGGACACAGTAAGGAAAAATTGCAAAGAGCACCATCTCTTTCCTCTGCTCAGTCCTTTTCTTTCCTGTTGTCTCTTTTACTTCCATATTTCTATACTGCCAAATCTTCTTTTCTGCTCTCCTTTCCATGTCTTTTTTTCTCCTCTTTCTTTCTCCTGTAATTCTATGCAGGTTGCCTCCTGTTTTTTGCTTACCTCTTGTTCCTTCGAAACTCTCCTGCCCTCTCCTTTCCTCTGTGCTCTCCTGCCCTCTTCTCCTCTCTGTCTTCTTCCTTTCTTTATTCTACTTTCTTTTGTGCTCTTCTGTATTCTCCTCTGTGCTCAGCTATCCTCCTTTTTCTTATGTGCTGTCCTGTCCTCTGTGCTCTCCTATCCTCTGTGCTCTCCTGTCCTCCGTGCTCTCCTCTGTGCTCTCCTGTCCTCTTCTTTCCAATTTCTTTCCTCTCCTTTCCTCTGTTCTCTCATATCATTTCCTTTCCCCTGTGCTCTCCTGACCTCTTCTTTCTTCTATGCTCTCCTGTTCTGTCCTCTTTTTTTCACTCCTTTCTTCTTCTTTCTTTTGTGTTCTCCTGTACTGTCCTCTTCATTTCACTCCTTTCCTCTTCTTTCTTCTGTGCTGTCCTGTGCTGTCCTCTTCACTCCCTTCCTCTTCTTTCTTGTGTGCTCACCTTTCCTCCCTCTGTGCTCTCCTGTCCTCTCCTTTTCTCTGTGCTTGTCTATCCACTTCTCTCTGCTCTCCTCTCCTCTCCTCTGTGCTCTCCTGTCCTTTCCTCTGTGATCTGCTAGCCATCTTCTGTCCTCTCCTCTCTTCTGTGCTCACATGTCCTGCCCTCTTCTTTTATTACCTTCCTCTTCTTTCTTCTGTGTTCCCCTGTCCTTTAGGTTGTGCTCTTCACTTTTCTCTTCTGTGGTATCCTGTCCTTTCTTTTACTTTGTGCTCTTCTGTCCTCTTTTTTTTCTGCTTCCCTGTCCTCTCCTTTCCTCTGTGCTCTCCTGTCCTTTCCTTTCCTTTGTGCTCTTCTGTCCTCTTTTTCTCTTTTTTCTGATTCCCTGTCCTCTCCTCTTCTTTGTGCTCTCCTGTTCCTTTCTTCTTCTTTACTCTCCTTTCCTTTCCTTTGATCTTCTTTCCTCCCATCTTTGATTTCCTGTCTACTCCTGTCCACTCCTCTCTTCTGTGCTCGCATGTCCTGTCCTCTTGATTTACTCTCTTCCTCATCTTTCTTCTGTGTTCTCTTCTCCAGTCCTTTTCGTATGTTCTCCCATGTCCTATGCTTTTTTCTGTGCTCTTCTGTTTTCTCTTCTGTGTTGTCCTCTCCTTTTTTTACTCTGTGCTCTCCTCTCTGCTTCCCTGTCCTCTTCTCTTTTTTGTCCTGTCCTGTCCTCCCTTTTCCTCTGTGCTCTTCTGTCTTCTTCTGTGTGCTTTCCTCTGTGTTCTCCTGTCTCATCTTCTTCTTTTCCATTTCTCCTTTCCTCTGTGCTCTTTTATCCAGTCTTTTCTTCTCCCCTGTGTGCTCTCCTGTCCTCTTCTCTCTTCTGTGCTCTGCTGTCCTTTCCTCTGTACTTTTCTCATTGCTCTCCTCTCCCCTGTGCTGTCCTGTCCTCTTGTCATGGTCTGGGGCAAGGCTTGGAGACCAGTGGCTGTAGCAGTAGAGAGGTTCACAGGTAGTCAGCTGGAAATGTACAAGCAGATTCCCTAGCGGATGACGCGTGCTCACCCAAGGTGTGGGGTTTAAGCACTAACCAGTCCTCACCAGAGTCCCTGAGGATGGAGATGGGTTTTGCAGTGTGTTAGTACCAGGTCATGGCCCTCAGGATGATCCAGGAGGTGATCAGGCCGGGGTCTGATGGCAGATATAGCAGGTTGGGATCAAGCAGATGCGTAGTCAGTAAACAAAGGTCAGTAGGTGGATGGAATCAGATGGAAGCGTAGCGGATAAACAAGCCATGCAAGTGCTAGCGAAGATAAAGACAGCAGCAGGTATGCAAGGAAGTACAATATCAGCTGGAGAGTGCAAAATAATCGGGCAAACAGGAAATGCAGAGACGTGACTGAAATCAGTAAGTTCATTGGAGGAGGATCAAATGGTTCAAGAGAAACAAGACACCATGTAAGTTTGTCCAAGGAGTCAGGCAAGGAGCTGTCCAGCACCCCTGGTGGCACAGTGAGAAGAACCACAGCCAACCACTGCAGTGGTCGCAGGTTCAGACCTGGGTCTTGACACCTCTTCTCCTGTCCTATCTTCTTTCCTCTGTGCTCTTCTATCCCCTTCTTGGTGCTATCCTCTCCCCTTCTTTGTGCTCCCTGTCCTTTTCTCTTTTCTACCCTCTCCTTTCCTCTGTGCCCTTTTATTACCTATTTGATGCTCTCCTGTCCCGTCTCTCCTCTTCTCAGTGCTATCTTCTCCTCTTCTTTGTGCTCTCCTGCCCTGTCCTCTTTTCTATCCTCTCCTTTCTTCTGTGCTCTGCTATCCTTCCCTCTGTGATGTCATCTCCTTTCCCCAACCTCTCTACTTTCCTGTTCTTCGTTCCTTTTTTTTTCTCTTCTTCTCTCTGTGTCCCCCTTTCCTCTGCGCTGTTCTGTCTTCTCCTCTCTGCTCTCCCCTCCTCTTTGCTGTTCTGTTTCCTTCTTGTCTTTCCCTTCTTCTGTGCTCTCTTGTCTTCTATTAATTTTGACCCTTGAACTTAGTTCTCCTGTGACATTTGTTCCCCTTTTTTCAGGTGTGCGATGTAGAGTGGCATCATTATGCTCTGAGCCTTGAGTTCCCAACCGTCTCCCTCTATGTGGATGGTGTCACGTATGATCCTGCACTTATTCATGATAATGGAGCCCTCACCCCTCCCAAACGTCAGGCCAGGCTCATGATTGGAGGCTGCTGGACAGGTGAGTTCCCATTACAACTAATGGAAGTTTATGAGAATTGAGGTTGAACAGGTCAAAAACATGTAGTGATGCCACTACAGTTCCAATATTGGACATAAGAACTGTGCACTGGAATCTGATAGGCATGAGATACTGCTGTGCTCAAAAACTTTGCGTCCCCTGGCAGAAATGGTAACATTTTGGCATTGATATTGAAAATATGACTGATTATGCCAAAAAGCAGGGTGTGGGGTTGTTGATTGTTTCATGTTATGTGGCTGCATCCCATTGTTTTACTGTGTGTCTTGCTTGGGAGCAAACTATTATGGGATGTATGTGTTTATGTGTATTAGCGTAGTGGGGGGTGTCTCCAGCAGCCCTCCCTACTGATGGGACTGTCTGCTGGAGTGAAGTTTGAATACCTTTGTGTCTCTTGTTGCTAAGTGTAGATTGCCCCACCCTGTGTCATTATGCAGGAAGCGGGGACGGAGTATAAAAAGCCAGTTCGAGTTTCAAATAAAGAGTTCCATGTTCAGACAGACTGGTGTCGTCTAGTCTTGTTTGGTCGGCTGTGGTGTTTGTGTTCGGACGGGGAAGCGGTATTATAACGGAAGTACCCAAGCTCAGACTGGGTCGGTTCCGTTACATTTAGTAAAGGGAATAACAGACTGGACAATCAGTTGTGCTGACTCTTACAGTGTATGGAGCACACCCCAAAATCCACCTTCATTGATGTGAAGAATCTTTTGGCCATATCTCATGTAATATGAATAAGTGCTTTGAAAAAGTAATGAATTGTTAATTTCGTAATATTTCTTTCCCTATTAATTTATATAAAAATGAAACATATCAAAATATAAAACTGGGTGTGAAAATCAGAGGGTGTATATGTGGGATAATTTAGGGCACCGCATCCTAATTTGAGTAATTTAAATATGAATGGGAAGATTTTCTAATATACCTGAGATAAATAGGAGATTTGTTACAGTATTTTATATATCTCAATTGTGTTGTCCTGGCACCGTAAAAATCCATTTCTATTACTATTTAAGTTATTAAAACTGGTTGTGGTCTACCTTACCCATTTAACACCTAAATTGCATTGAGTTGTATCAATGTTTTAATCAACCTTAGTGGAATGAATCTATGTATGTTTTTATTAAAATCCTATCTGTATACTAAATGTTTAAAAATATGTTTTATATTTCAATGTTTTTTTATTAATTTTAGAAACAGCATACAAAAGGAATACAGCCCACAATCGTGGGCTGCAGAATTCCAAACAATAAATCTATACATTAAAGAATGATTCAAACAATATAATAACAAAGTTAAGGAACAGTAATAAAGCCTTTTCCTTCACCTCAACTCAATAAAACAATCACACCCAAAAATTATCCAATTAAATTAAAGTCCAAAAATGAATGTCCAAAAATTAGTATCCAAAAATGAATGTCCAAAAATTAGTGTCCAAAAATTAATTTATAGTCCACCAAAATATCTCAATCCTGTGTGTCCAACTTTATTATTCCAACAATCCGGGCCACTTGATACCTCGAAAAAATACAACTAAAATAGTGTATTACGTTCAAATAAATGTATATACCTTTTCAACAAATGAGTATATACTATATCTGTGCAAAAAATATATGTGCAAAAATTTGTATAATTAATATAATATAGTGACATCAATAGATTCAACTGTGAGTAACACGTGAATCATGCAAAATCACTCTGTGTACACTCCAATAAACTAATATAAAGTGAAAAATTGTGTACACTCAAAAAACTGCACAAAAAAAAAAAATAATAATAATAAATTATATATATATATATATATTTACACATACATACACACATTTAAAATAATATAAATTAATTAATTAATTAAACAAATAAATGAACGCTCCGTGACCACCTCTAAATGGCAAGAATGCATACAATTACCCTCATGGAGTAATATCAAGCTTTAAGGGATATTCTGATGTTTTTAGCAGTCACTTCCAAGCTCTCATTCACTGTATATAGGGTACACCTTCAATTCTCCATAGTCCTCATAAAAATAGAAAAGACCCATGTAGCATATTGCAGTGAGTATTAAAAACATTTAATGCAGCATCTTACATTAGGGACTTGGAATATTCAGCATAAATTCCCATGCACCAGCCACAGCAACTTCCTGATATCAAAACCACGTTTTACAGTCAACAAAATGGCCGTGCCACCACTTCTGGTTTTGCGCAATTACGTCAGGCTGACGCGTTTCGTCACTTCCGGACTTCTTCTGAAGGGAATGTTAAGGAACAGACTAGGGTATTCGAGTATAAAATAAAACAATCGGTTGAGTGCATGCTAGAGTCCAAGGCAAGTCCTCAGGCAGTAATAGTTTGACCTAAAATATGGAGTGAAAAAAAAAAGCATTGCTAAACTTATTCAAGTTTAAGTCAGATAAAAATATGTTTTAATAAGAGGACAACTTTGCCCAAAAACTTCCCAAAAACACTGAAAATGTACCAAAAATTCTGAATTCTGATGAAACCCATTTTCACTCTATAGACTATTCAGAGGTGGTCAGGGTCAGGTTTGATCCAGTTGCAGAGCTACTTTAGAGCAGCTGAGGAAGGAATGTATGACTCAAGCTGAATACTGTCCATTATACTTTTATTTGCACTAACAGTTACATTTCCAAGACAAGCTTTCAGGGGTCTAGACCCCTGGTGCCCAACCTGTGGCTTGAGGGTCACATGCAGCCCTTTCAGGTTTTAAGATTGCGCCCCAGTAGTCAATAGAGGGAACCAGGGGCGGACTAACCATTTGGAAACTCGGGCACTGCACGAGGGCCCGGGGTCAGTAGGGGCCCCATGAGATGCCCCTGGTACCTTTTTCATAGGCTTTTTTGAGTTTGGGCAAGGACACAGGGGCCCCATGATCCCCTAGTGCCCGAGGGCCCCATGAGTTGTCAGTCCGCCCCTGGAGGGAACGTTGATTTATAAAGGGGCCCTTATAGTAGTCAAGTAAAGTCTAGTAATTTCACGAAACGTTTCTGGTCTCTGACTGTCTCCTATATCATGGCTTCAGTCTCCAACCACTCCTGTAGAACAGTCACTAATCATTTCCTCTAGCAAGTCTTCAGTCTGTGACAGTTTTCTGTAGAATTACTTATAATAAATGCTATACACTGCCCTTTGGAGACATTAGGGGATGCATTTGAGGCCCCTTTTACCTTGCAGGTTGAGAACCACTGGCCTAGATGCTTCCTCCAAGGTCCAAACAGTAACGATAGACAATGGTTTAGCACAATGTGAACAATAAATCTGGAAAGGCAACAATCTCTGGAAAAAAAAATAAAAAAAATAATAATAGTAAAATAGTTAGGCTAGCCAAACACCTAAAGATTTCTACATCCATGCTAAACAGCGCTCATGGTTTTTTAAATGCAGTCTGCTGTTCTGCGAGCAACTTTCCGCTACTTCGACTTTTTCACTGAGTTTGTCCAGACCAGTAGTGCCAAAAGGGCCACCCATGGCTTGGATTTCATCTGATTTAGCAGGAATCAACCAAAATTTGAGCCATGTCTATCAGGCCTAAAGTGGAACTTCACTGTCCCAATCAACATGGACTATTTTGAATCCTGACGCTGCTAGCATTAGTAAATAGGAAAGTATATTATATTTACTTGGTTTAAACAGTTTTTTTTTACTTTTCTTCACTTACTTCCTGGTTTCCTGGCCTAGGCAAATGATGTCATACATCCCAGGAGTCTTCAGGAGGGGTTTTCCCAGCTAAGTACACCCTCCTGCCTGTATGCCTGAGCTAAGGGCAGATGGATTCCAGGAAGTAAATGCTACATGAAACATCGTCCGTTACTTAAGATGGCCACGGCCAGAAACGCTAGGGTGGTGTTTTCTAAGTGATTTCTCAGCCAAATAAAGCATGGAGACATAGATGGATAAGGGGGGTTTGCTTTGAATATAAAGAGCAGGGCCCTCGGATCCCTCGTGTATTGTATTGTTTCTATCTTGTCTCATGTCCTGTCCCCCTTGCTACTGTACAGCGCTGAGCATACCCTTTGGCGCTATATAAATACTGTATAATAACAATAATAATAATATTAAAAATTAATTAACCACTTCCCGTCTGGCCCATGTATATAGACGCCGGACGCGAGCAGTGCAGGAGTGGGTGGCTGTTTGTAAATGTCCTCCCCGCTCCCTGCTTGTGCGCACTGGGAGCACGCAGCACTGCAAAAGACACAGCGGAACACCGATCGTTGTACAGGACCTCTGTGTGAGGTCCCGATCATGTGATCACATGAAGAGTAGTAAGCAAGATGTCACTTCCTGACATCATTGCTTACTACGTGTGAAATCTGTGAATGATCACAGAGGTCACATGGTACAGGGCTATTCACAACAGCCTTGTACCATGTGACAAGCTGTGATCAATCACAGCTCTCAGTATTTCTCAATGGCTGCAGGAATGCAGCCAGAGAGAAGGAGAAATGATTGCTTTTACATACTATATGGGTGTAAAAGCAATCAGTGCAAAAAAAAAAAAAATCTTCATCACCCCCCACAAGTAGTACAGTGTCACCATGGTGACACTGTACTGCTAGGGTGATGGTATGTTAAAAAAATATAAAACATAAATAATATAAAAAAAATTAAAATGTAAAACATTTTTTTTTTAAATTATAATTTTTGGTTATAAACTAATTTGGGTTATTTTTTTTTTTTTTTTACTAAAAAGATAACTGAATACATTTTGGCCAAGATTTATGAAGAAAGACTATTTATTTGTAAAATGTTATAAGAAAAACACTTTTTTTCTAAATGTTTTGACTTTTTCATTTATATAGCAAAAAAATAAACATCCCAGTGGTGAATAAATACCACCAAAATAAAGTTTTATCTGTCTCAAAAAAAAAATGCTAAAAAATTCATACGGGTAGAGTGTTGCATGACCGCGCAATTGTCATTCAAAGTGTGATAGCGCTGAAAGCTGAAAATTGGCCTGGACGAGGGGGGGGGGGGGGGGGAAGTGTGCGGACTGGAAGGGGGTGAAAGTGTGCGGACTGGAAGGGGGGGAAAGTGTCCGGACTGGAAGGGGGTGAAAGTGTGCGGACTGGAAGGGGGGGAAAGTGTCCAGACTGGAAGGGGTGGAAAGTGTCCAGGACTGGAAGGGGGGGGAAAGTGTCCGGACTGGAAGGGGGGGAAAGTGTCTGGACTGGAAGGGGGGGAAAGCGTCCGGATTGGAAGGGGGGGGAAAGCGTCCGGACTGGAAGGGGGGGAAAGCGTCCGGACTGGAAGGGGGGGAAAAACGTCCAGACTGGAAGGGGGGGAAAGCGTCCGGACTGGAAGGGGGGGGAAAGCGTCCGGACTGGAAGGGGGGGAAAGCGTCCGGACTGGAAGGGGGGGAAAGCGTCCGGACTGGAAGGGGGGGGAAAAGTGTCCGGACTGGAAGGGGGGGAAAGTGTCCGGACTGGAAGGGGGGGAAAGTGTCCGGACTGGAAGTGGTTAAGTAGCGTTTTTGGTTTGTGGTGCTCACTTGAAGTGTTGTTCTGCTTTAAGACAGATAAGTAACAGAGAATGGCTTTGAATTTGTTGTCTTTGCCAATTTCCTTCTAAAGAAGAAGTCTCACTTCCATTGTTACCAGTGTATTCTGTTCTCCCGGGGATGAAGATCATGTAGTGCATAGTCCCATCTTCCTATGTGCTTTCTAATTCTACTTGTGAGGTCACCCACTGCACCCCTCATCCCTCACGGCCGCCTGACAACATATCTAGCAAGGAGCCGGCTCCTATGGTAAACAGCATATTTCTGAGTCTCCAAGCACTTGTCCACTTGCCTGGAAAATGTTAGTCAACAAGCCCCCTTCCTCTACATTTTTCTGAAACAATTGTCTCAGGCAAGTGCTTGTAGAAAAGTACTGTTTGTCAAAGCAACCTTCTCCTTGCTAGCTGCGTTGTCGGATGGCTGTGGAGGAAGGAGGGGTGTAGAGAACACATTAATAACAATTGAAGGGAGACTTCCTTAACATATTGAAAATCCCACCGCAACCACGAACCCAAATGTTTGGCTCAGGCGGTGTCATCTGTCAAACTCTGCAGGTCGAGTTTAAAAATAAAAAGCATTGTGGCCTCGGCCTGTAATGTTAGAATTTCTGCGGGCGGCCAGGGTCCCCAGTTTTTACTGCTCCCCGCCACCTGTGTGAAAAAGCCCCTAAAGGATATAAGCTAATTAAAACACATTAAAACACTATTAAATCACAGATTAGAACATAAATGAATGCACAGCTTTCTAACATCCTGTACTACAGGCCTCAAAGAGGGAGGACAATGATGGAAAGAGAAGATGAAAATAGATTAAAATTTCTGAAAAAGAGGTAAAATGTCAAAACAACACAAATTGTGTTTTTTTTCAACAGATGAGAAGTTTTCGGTGAAAGTGAATGACAATGAAGTGTCAAGAGCCCCAGGTACCTTGTCTCTGTTCTGTCTGTTGTATATGCCTGGTTGATGAGACAATTATAAAAGTAATATATAATATGTTCTCCTTTGTACTCTCCTGCCCTCTCTCTCTGCTCTCATGTCCTCACCTCTCCACTCTCCTGCCCTCATGTCCTCACCTCTCCACTCTCCTGCCCTCATGTCCCCTCTCCATGTCCTGCCCTCATGTCCTCACCTCTCCACTCTCCTGCCCTCATGTCCTCACCTCTCCACTCTCCTGTCCTCTCATGTCCTCACCTCTCCACTCTCCTGCCTCTCCTCCTCTCACCTCTCCACTCTCCTGCCTCTCCTCTCCTCACCTCTCCACTCTCCTGCCCTCTCCACTCACGTCCTCACCTCTCCACTCATGTCCTCACCTCTCCACTCTCCTGCCCTCTCCTCTCATGTCCTCACCTCTCCACTCTCCTGCCCTCCTCCACTCATGTCCTCACCTCTCCACTCTCCTGCCCTCTCCTCTCATGTCCTCACCTCTCCACTCTCCTGCCCTCTCCACTCATATATCCTCACCTCCCACTCTCCTTCCCTCTCCTCTCATGTCCTCACCTCTCCACTCTCCTGCCCTCTCCTCTCATGTCCTCACCTCTCCTCTCTGCTCTCATGTCCTCACCTCTCCACTCTCCTGCCCTCTCCTCTCATGTCCTCACCTCTCCACTCTCCAGCCCTCTCCTCTCATGTCCTCACCTCTCCACTCTCCTGCCCTCTCCTCTCTGCTCTCATGTCCTCACCTCTCCACTCTCCTCTCATGTCCTCACCTCTCCACTCTCCTGCCCTCTCCTCTCATGTCCTCACCTCTCCACTCTGCTCTCATGTCCTCACCTCTCCACTCTCCTCTCATGTCCTCACCTCTCCAGTCTCCTGCCCTCTCCTCTCATGTCCTCACCTCTCCACTCTCTCTCATGTCCTCACCTCTCCACTCTCCTGCCCTCTCCTCTCATGTCCTCACCTCTCCACTCTCCTGCCCTCTCCTCTCATGTCCTCACCTCTCCACTCTCCTGCCCTCTCCTCTCATGTCCTCACCTCTCTACTCTCCTGCCCTCATGTCCTCACCTCTCCACTCTCCTGCCCTCATGTCCTCACCTCTCCACTCTCCTGCCCTCTCCTCTCATGTCCTCACCTCTCCACTCTCCTGCCCTCATGTCCTCACCTCTCCACTCTCCTGCCCTCTCCTCTCATATCCTCACCTCTCCACTCTCCTGCCCTCTCTCTCTCTGCTCTCATGTCCTCACCTCTCCACTCTCCTGCCCTCTCCTCTCTGCTCTCCTGTCCTTACGTCTCCATTCTCCTGTCCTCTCATGTCCTCACCTCTCCACTCTCCTGTCCTCTCATGGTCCTCACCTCTCCACTCTCCTGCCCTCTCCTCTCTGCTCTCCTGTCCTCACCTCTCCACTCTCATGTCCTCACTTCTCCACTCTCCTGCCCTCTCCTCTCTGCTCTCTCATGTCCTCTCACCTCTCCATTCTCCTGCCTTCTCTTGTTTTTTCTTCTGTTCTCTCTTGTTCTCTCCTCTATGTTCTTTTGTCTTCTCTGTGATCTCTTCTTCTCTGTGTTCAACTGTCCTATCTTCTTTTCTATTTCCCCTCTCCCGTGTTCTCTCCTGTACTCTCCTCCCGTCTCTGCTCTCCTGTCCTCTTCTCTCTGCTCCTTTACACTCTTCTCTCCTCCCTCTGTGTTCTCTTGGCCCTTCCTTTCTTCTCTTCTGTGCTCTTTTATCCTTTCATTTCCTGTATGCTCTGTTGTCCTCTCCTCTCCATTCCTCTCCTCTCCTACCTCTGTGGTCTCCTGCCCTTTCCTTTTTTTCTCTTTGGTGCATTCTTGCCCTCTCATCCCCTCTGTGCTCTCTTGCCCTCTCCTCTCCATTTCTCTCCTCTCCATGTTCTCCTATCTCTCTTCTCCTCTCTGCTCTCCTCTTCTCTGTGCTTTCCTCTCTTCTTCCCTGTCATCTCCTCTCCTCTGTGATCTCTTGCCCTCTCCTCTCCATGCTCTCCTGTTCTCTATTCTCCTCTGCTCTGTGGTTTCCTCTCTTCATCCCTGTCATCTCCTCTCCACCCTTCTGCCGTCTTCTCTCCTCCCTCTGTGCTCTCCTGCCATTTCCTTTCTTCTCTTCTGTGCTCTTTTGTCATTTCTATCCTTTGTTCTTTCTTGCCCTCTCCTCTTTTCTCCTCTCTTTTCCTATCTTCTCTTCTCCTCTGTGCTATCCTTTCCTTCCTCCTTTCCTCTCCTATCCTGTCTTCTCCTCTCCTCTCTGCTCTTATGTCCTCTTCTCTCCTCCCTCTGTGTTCTCCCGCTCTTTCCTTTCTTCTCCTCTGTGCTCTCTTGCCCTCTCCTCTATTCTCCATGCTCTCCTGTTCTCTCTTCTCCTCTGTCCTCTTCTCTCCACCCTTCTGTCCTCTTCTCTTCTTTCCCTGTGCTCTCCTACCCTTCCCTTCTCTTCTGTGCTCTTTTGTCCTTTCCTTCCCTCCGTACTCTCTTACCCTCTCCGTTATCCTGCTAAAACTCCTATTTTAAACTTTTGCATTTGTTGTTCCAGGTACTTCTGTTGGCCGGTTCCTGCGTGGTTACATTTCCGGTCTGTCCCTTCGGTTGGGTCCTGTGGATTCTCGGGAAGTGATAGAATGCCTCTATTCCTGTAAGGAGGGTCTGCAGTACACCGACTTTGACAGTCTGGGGAAAGGAATGAAGGTAACAGAATTGTGAGGTAGTCAGTAACACGATGTGCCAGAACTTGGAAGCGCCATATGTCCTTTTCCTTGGTTAAACATTTCATTTAAACTCGGTTACCAGTGCCACTCTTGTGACCAAACTCTACAGCAGACTTTCTCAACCTTTTCAAGACAGAGGAACCCTTGAAATAACATTCCGGTCTTAGGGAACCTCTGCTGGAAATGACCACCTCTACAACCCTGAGACATTGGTGTGATGGTCATTGGGAAGAATGTTCCTTACACTTGTGGTCATTGGGAAGAATTACCTTTCTTACCGATAGCTAACAGGATCAATGGTGTCCTTGGGAACTTATCTGAGAAGCAGAAATTGCTCAAGGAACCCCTAGAAACCTCTGGAGGAACTCTGGTTGAGAAACCACTATACCGGGTGTCGGCTCGCGGGCTCTCCGGAGCCGCATGGGGCTCTTTTTAACCTTTCCTGCAGCTCCGGAGCACACTGCCCACCAGGTGACAGGCAATAGGGTCGGCAAGCCGCGGCTCTTTTAATGCAGATCTTCTGTGTGCCGGGCGCCCGCTGGCAAACATTGGCTGTCAGGATGTAGGCGGGGCAGCCCGGATGTAGGGGCGGGCAGCGTGACGAACTCCTCTCCTCTCACAGTCCGCCCTGAAGACCAGAACGGCGCGGGAAACCCAGCGAGAGGAACGCGCGGAGCAAAGGTAAGTGAATTCACACAATATGGGGAATGAATATTACTATGGGGGATGAATTACTATAGGGGGGATGAATTACTATAGGGGGGATGAATTACTATATGGGGGATGAATTACTATATGGGGGATGAATTACTATAGGGGGGATGAATTACTATGGGGGATGAATTACTATATGGGGGATGAATTACTATAGGGGGATGAATTACTATAGGGGGATGAATTACTATGGGGGATGAATTACTATATGGGGGATGAATTACTATGGGGGATGAATTACTATATGGGGGATGAATTACTATATAAGGGATAAATTACTATGGGGGATGAATTACTATATGGGGGGATGAATTACTATATGGGGGAATGAATTACTATATGGGGGATGAATTACTTAGGGGGGATGAATTACTATGGGGGATGAATTACTATGGGGGATGAATTACCATATATGGGGGATGTATTTTCAGTTTTAAAAATGTTTCTCTCAAAGATAAATTTCAATCGTGGTTTTTGGCGAGATTTGGCTCAGTCGAAAAAAAAAGGTTGCCCACCACTGACCTAAGGCTATGATTGTGATTATGACGATACACTGTGGCCCTGATTAACCCTTTGCTTACTGGGCCCTTAAACCCCCTTCATGACCAGAGCGTTTTTTGCAATATATGCCAGTGTGTCGGATTTGTTTTAAATGTTTGCAAATGGTTTTGCGGCTCCCAGTCTTTTTTTCCCTCTCGGAAACGGGTCCAAGTGGCTCTTTATGTCTTAAAGGTTGCAGACCCCTGCTCTATACGGTCACAAATTGTGAATAGCAGAATGGTGCTAACTTGCCATGTAGGGTTCTCTTTACACTTTTGGCAACTTTTGCCTTGGAGTGCCTCTGAGCTGCACATGTTGATTGTGTGATGTCTTTGACCTTTGCTCTCAGGTTCACGTGAACCCCGCTCAGTCCCAGCTGTCCTTGGAAGGGGATGACGCAGCCTCCTTCAGCCGAGCTCTGCAACACGTTGAATACCTCAACTCTCTACAGTTTCCAACACCGGGCGTTCGACCCCTTAAACTGCAGACCTCTGTCAGGTAGGTGTACCATGTGCTGCCTGATGCCATCCAGGGGTCATTGGCCATGCCTCTCCAAATATTATGTATCTCTGGTTCTTGCATATGCCATTTAACTGATGTCAGTCAGAAGTCTTTGTTGTTTCTCCAGTAAGTCAGAAGGCTTTGATGGAAAAAAAAAAAAAAAAAGGAAGAGCCATTGGGATTGATTTATTAAAGGGATAATAGACCATTCACTTTGCCAGGGAATGTTCCCCATAGCTTAGTGAATGAGGTCAAGCAATTCTGATTTCCATCATCCAATCGTTTTTTTTTTTTTATTTTCCTTGCTCATAATTGGGTATTCTTTGCAAAGTGAAATTTCACCACATTTGTTAAGCTCTGTGGGAAAATTCCTTGCAAAGTGCAACTTCTCTTCAAAAATCAACAGCCCCTTTCCTTTATAAAATTAAAGCCAAAAGTGTTCCTCTTCCTCACATGCAGCATGCCACTTCTACAATACTCCCTGCCCAAAGACACAAACAAATCACCACTACAAGCACCTAACCAGGAAAGTAGAATTTCCTTGGATGAGCTGTGGAAGGTATGTAGAGCCGGGAACTGGAAGGTCTCACCTGGGTGTCAGATGGTAATGGCAGGTTCATTCTTCAGCATCTGACATAAAAACAAAAATCAATTTTAGGTGGAATTAGCCTTTAATATATGTTTTATCTTTAAAGAATAAGTACACTTTCATACCAAGTGCACATATTCTTTTTGCTTCCCTCCCTCCCAACAGAGGTCCAATGTCCACAGCCTTTGAGGAGTCCACAAGTTCTGGCCACGTCTGTGCAATATAGAGCCCCATAGAAGTTTATGGGGCTCATTACTCGCAGCAGATGGAGGTAGAGGAGCTAATAGAAGTCTATGAGGCTCTACTGCACATGTGTGGCCAAGGTGAGAAGACAGATCTTGGTAAGTAATGTATGTATCTGCGAACGGGGGTGAGTCGGCTCTGTTAGAAAAAAATAATAATTGCACTTTGTAGGAAAGTCCGCTCTTTCTTTAAAACATTTTCTTAAACAGCAACCAACAGTTTCCATAGTAACCAATTATATTTCATTATTGTTGAAATTGGAATAATATAACTTACATTATAGTTGTCACATAATCGCCACATTAGCACATTAGTCAATGCAGGATGTCGTGCTAACACCCCTACAGAGGTGGATGGATGGAGAGGTGGGTGGATGGATGTCTGGATGAATAGATGGGTGGGTGGATGGATGTGTGAATGGATGGATAGATAGGTGGGTGATGGATGGATGTGGATGGACGAATGACAGACAGACAGATATGGATGGGTGGATGGATGGATAAGTGGATGAACTGATCAATATGCACCTTGAAAGACTTTAAAAAAGAGTTTTAAAAAATGTAAAGCCCATCCCCGGGCAAATATTTTCTCTGCTGTAGTCCAGTAACACTTACATCTATCTTTCACTCTGTTCTCTCCTCCTGTCAGCATGTCACTTAAAGATAAAAGACACCACCATGTCAGCTCTTGTAAAAAACACAGCCCCCCTCAAAATTAGAAGAAAAAAAATGCTCTGGCTGTCCCCTGCAGACTCAACAATTAGGCCTCATGCACACTGGGAGTTTTAAACACCATCTCTAGAGGCATCTAGGGATTTTTTCCTGCCTCTAAATGCCTCTCAATGTTAGCCTGTGCGTCCATGCACATGCACAGGTTTTTTAATTAGCAGGAAAACAAGCAAATGCCAAAACATTCAGGAGCAGTAGTGTTTTGGCAGAAAAGAATGCCAAAGCATCAAGCGCTTGGGCGTTCATTTATTTGAACCCAGGGAACGAGAGTGCCACCAGCAGGTGATCCAGGTCCTGATATATGGGGGGCTGATTTACTAAAACTGGAGAGTGTGAAATCTGGTGCAGCTCTGCAAAAAAAAACAATCAGCTTCCAGTTTGTATTGCTAAAACATAACTAAACAAGCTGAAGTGACACACTGATTGGCTACCATGACCAGCTGCACTAGATTCAGAGTGCTCCAGTTTTAGTAAATCTCCCTCATGGCGTCACTGTCCTGACCAAAGGCACTTGGAAAAAGGGTAGGTGTATCATTTGCCAAGGGTACCCCAAATGAGTGTGGAGGAATCTAATCCTGGAGTTGGGCGTTAAAGCTGAAGTGTAGGTGTGGCTCTTTTTACATATTTACATTGATGTACCTTGGATACTTTTATATCCAATTGAAGACAAGGCCTCTTCTGTATTGTTTTGCTAGAAAATTACTTAGAACTTCCAAACATTATATATTTTTTAGTACAGGCCCTAGACCAGGAGTCTCCAAACTTTCTAAACAAAAGGGCCAGTTCACTGTCCTTCAAACTTTAGGAAGCCGGATTGTGACCAGCGGGAGTAGAACATGCTATTAGGGGGGGAATAGTTTCTCATTATTGGCCTCAGTGGGAGGGATAGTGCCCCATCATTGGCCTCAGTGGGAGGGATAGTGCCCCATCATTGGCCTCAGTGGGAGGGATAGTGCCCCATCATTGGCCTCAGTGGGAGGGATAGTGCCCCATCATTGGCCTCAGTGGGAGGAATAGTGCCCCATCATTGGCCTCAGTGGGAGGAATAGTGCCCCATCATTAGGGTCAGTGGGAGGAATAGTGCCCCTTCATTGGCGTCAGTGGGAGGAATAGTGCCCCATCATTGGCCTCAGTGGGAGGAATAGTGCCCCATCATTGGTATCAGTGGGAGGAATAGTGCCCCATCATTGGTATCAGTGGGAGGAATAGTGCCCCATCATTGGTGTCAGTGGGAGGAATAGTGCCCCTTCATTGGCGTCAGTGGGAGGAATAGTGCCCCTTCATTGGCGTCAGTGGGAGGAATAGTGCCCCATCATTGGTATCAGTGGGAGGAATAGTGCCCCATCATTGGTATCAGTGGGAGGAATAGTGCCCCTTCATTGGCGTCAGTGGGAGGAATAGTGCCCCTTCATTGGCGTCAGTGGGAGGAATAGTGCCCCATCATTGGCGTCAGTGGGAGGAATAGTGCCCCATCATTGGTGTCAGTGGGAGGAATAGGGCCCCATCATTGAGGTCAGTGGGAGGAATAGTGCCCCATCATTGGCATCAGTGGGAGGAATAGTGCCCATCATTGGTATCAGTGGGAGGAATAGTGCCCCATCATTGGTATCAGTGGGAGGAATAGTGCCCCATCATTGGTATCAGAGGGAGGAATAGTGCCCCATCATTGGCATCAGTGGGAGGAATAGTGCCCCATCATTGGCATCAGTGGGAGGAATAGTGCCCATCATTGGCATCAGTGGGAGGAATAGTGTCCCCTCATTGGTATCAGTGGGGGAATAGTGCCCCATCATTGGCATCAGTGGGAGGAATAGTGCTCCATCATTGGCGTCAGTGGGAGGAATAGTGCCCCATCACTGGTGCCAGTGGGAGGAATAGTGCCCCATCATTGGTGCCAGTGGGAGGAATATTGCCCCATCATTGGTGTCAGTAGGAGGAATAGAGAAGAATAGTGCCTCATAGGTGTCAGAGGGAAGAATAGTGCCCCATAATTAGCATTGGTGGGGGGAATAGTGCCCCATCATTGGTGTCAGTAGGAGGAATCATCATTGGTGCCAGTGGGAGGACTAGTGCCCCATCATTAGTGTCAGTGGGAGGAATAGTGCCCCATCATTGGTGTCAGTGGGAAGAATAGTGGCCGATCATTAGCATTGGTGGGGGGGAATAGTGCCCCATCATTGATGTCAGTGGGGGGAATAGTGCCCCATCATTGGTGTCAGTGGGAAGAATATTGCCCCATCATTGGTGTCAGTGTGAGGAATAGGGCCCTGTTTTCAGTGGCAAGAACTATGCCCCACTGTTGATGACAGTGGGGGGAAGAAGAACCCAAGGGCCAGATAAAAGCAGGCAAAGGGCCACATCTGGTCCCAAGGCCGTAGTTTGGAGACCACTGCCCTAGAGAATAAAAAATGATGGTCCTGGCAATTTTTTATGTCACATGGTATTTGCTCAGCGATTTTTCAAACTCAATTTTCTTGGAAAGAATACACTTTAACCACTTGCTCTCCAGAAGATTTACCCTCCTTCCTGACCAGGCCATTTTTTGCGATACAGCGTTGTGTTATTTTAACTGACAATTGTGCGGTCATGCAACGCTGTACATAACAGAAATTTATGTTATTTTTTGGGGGTTGATTTACTAAAATAGAGCTTTCTTTTGGTGGCATTTGATCACCTTTGCGTTTTTTATTTTTTGAGCTATGAACAAAAAAATTTAAAATACATAGACACAGCGCCAATAAATTGTATATAAAGCTGCAAACCTAACCAAAGAAAAGGTAAGTGACAAAAAAAATATATAAAGGAATGCACTAAATACCAAATCACATGAAAATGCAGATAAATACATAAGTAAAATAAAAAATATATTTATAAATGTCCGTAATTCATATAGAAGTCCAAACACAAATATAAGTGATTAAAAAATCTCTTAAACAAGTAAAAACACCGTGTAGCAAAATCCACCACCGAATGAAATGGGTAAACTCACCAGAGCTATTTGCTGATCAAATTATAAATCAGCAAAAATAGCAATTGCTCTGGGAGTGATGATCTGTTGGAGTATCCAGGAGCAATAGACTGCAGTCAGCCAAATCAGCTCACATGGAACAGCCGTAACTGCAAGTGGTCATCATGCCTTCATAACTTTGGGGAATGCTAGTTAATTTTCAGCAAAACATGCTTTCCTGCAGTGTTATATACATATTATTTGCTGCTTTCCAGACTTGATCAATCCCACACTCCTTCCATTTGTGTGCTGGCTCAGTTCACACACCTGTACTGCTGATCAAAGGAGAACCTGGAACCTGGAGAACCTGGAGAACCTGGAGAACCTGGAGAACCTGGAAAACCACAATACAAAACCCAATACTTTGGTATAATAGAAAAGATGATGTTACGCAGAGTAACAGGTCCTGTGTCAAGCAGCTACCCTAAAGTGCGTGAACTGTTGCTCGTTCGGCACAGAAGCCAATCAGGGAACACTTTACATTCCTTCAGCGAATACGAAGCATTCTTTGTTTGGACAAGGTGGAAAGGATGGGGGGGTAATGTCACAATTTCCACCTTATCCGATTAGAGAACACTTTGCATTCATTGAAAAAATGGAAAATGTTCTCTGAATGGTGCCCGTGCCAAGTGAGCGAACTTTTGTGTTCAGTAAGCCTCAAGGTAGGCGATCGGCGCAGGACCCAAAGCTAGTGGAGATCACTGGCAGTGCCTACTACATTGATTTCCAGCTTCCACGGAGATCCCACAGTTATGGTGCATACAGTATATTCTTACAATGGACTAAGCCAGACCAATGTAACTTTGTAAAAAGTTCCATACCTAAAACTTCAGCTTTAAAAAACCACTTGACTCCAATACATTTAGCCAAAATGGCAAACTTGAACGAAATATCCAGATTTGTTTCCAAACTTTAGACATTTAAGGAAACAGGATGCATCAGTGATGGCTTTGTATTTACTTAGGTTACACCAGGAATGATTGATCTTTTACCAGTTTTGTTGGTGAATAGCGATGTGTCTGGTTCTTCAGGTGTGTCAGTGACGAAGGATGTCTCTCAGTACCAGATCTAGACGGCTACCTTGTGGTTCTACAGCCAGATGCCCCACAGGTCCAACTAACGGGGTCCCCTCGGTCTGCACACCCCATATCCGACTTCCAAGGGACACTTGGGGTTCCAATATTCCCAGATTTGAGGATTACTTGCACTGTATCTCATTCATTAACGCCAAATAAGCTTGAAAGAGCACCGAGAGCAGGTAAGGGGTCTCTTCTGTCACAAAAAATGTTTTCAATTTGTAAATATGGGGCACATGTGAATATTTCATATTAGTTTCAGCCAGATATTGGCAAGCCTTATGCAAGAGCAGAAACTTTAGACTCTTTCTCATGCTGTTGCACAAAGATAGACATGATTGATTCAGAGTGGAGACATGCCTTCCCCCTTGTCTTCTAGCGGAATGGGATCATCTTAATTAGCCAGTTTACACAGGCAGACGACAACCATGCAAGCAGCCTGGGCTTGCATCCTCTTCAAACTGAATGCCATGGATGAATTGTGTAGTAAATGATCTCATGGAAACAACAACAATAATTCTGGAAAAGCCATCATGGAGGATTGATAACCCTACCTCCCCCCCAGGACTACTTTGCTGGAGAGGTCTACAAAGGTCAAAGCGCATCCAAAGATCTGCAACCATTTCCCAATCTGGTATAAAAATGTATGTGTGGCCAAATTTTAATTTTAATCTTTGGATGGAGTAGGGAAGAGTTAGATTTTTTCCAATTTTTTTATTGTGGTCTTGCTGGGTAGATTCGCCATCTCTTTGTGTCCTGGTGGCCATTGACAGACAGAAAGTGATGGGAAATCCAAAATGCTATGATTCTCACCAGAAAAAATTTTTTTTTTTTTTTTTAGAAATCTGTGTATTAAGATTGTCACAGACAACAAAAAACACAATACGTGCATACAAAACTATAAGGTGATGTCCCTTGCAGAGGTAATGTTACATCATAAAACACTGCAGTGCAGCGTAATGAGGGAAACACCAAAAATCCAGTAAGGTGCGGCATAGAGTGCATAACCAAGCATGTAAACAAGATTTACAATAATGAGAGGATTCTGCCATAGATCTGGAGGTCCCAAAGATCCACCAAGAGTTCATCCAGAGCCAGTTCATGACATTTCGGAGGTGGAAGAAGGCTGCGCCAGACATTTGCTCCAAACCCTATCACTACTTCCTAGGGCAGCCTTTATTTACGTAGGTGTCTTTATATAGGGGAAGGTTGTTATTCACCAGATTCTTCCAGTGGGAGAGAGGGGGGGGGGGCTGTTTTTTACATTTTAGCGCTATGGCTTTTCTGGCATAAAAAGAAGTAGGCAACTAGGGTGCGTTCTGCAGCTGTTGGAAATACATTTTCCACTAGCCCCCAGTAGGCAGACACTGATGGACGGTTGCAATGGAACAGATGTGACTCGGTTAGTCAGGGTTTATTTGGGTTTATTTATTTTAAGTTTGTTTTATATATTTTATGTTGGTACTTCAGGGGGAAGGATTGTGAAACGACTTAATTGGGTTTTGTATTAAGGTGGGTGTGTGTTGTCTCATAGTTATTTTAGTCAGGGTAAGTACCTCCTCCCAAAACCCCGCTATCACAGGACAGGTCCAAAATATATTGGAAACATCTCCTGGAGAAAAACCACATCTCCAGCAATCTGTAGAACAGGCGGGATTCATTTTATGGAGTCTAGAGGGTTAAACTGGGCTCTGTGTACCACCTTAAATTGTATGAGCTGATCTCGTAAAGAGATCATGTTATGGAAAGGGAAATCCCAGATGTCATCCCAATCATCTCTATCCAGGTCCGGTACATCTCTCAGCAAACGGTCCCAAAGTCCCTCCGAGGAGGTAGGGAGATCACACTCCATACGGAGTACACGTTTTCCAAATTAGGCTGGACAGCCACAAGTGAGGATTGAGGAAATTGGGCTCAAAAGGCATGGGAGAGCTGCATATAACAAAAGACATAGCTAGCAGGAACATTGTAAGGGGAGGATAATTGAGACAAAAGGATTAATGTCTGTTGAGGGGCAATTTGGGAGATAATTTTTATGTTGTACTTGGGCCATACTTGTGGTTCTGAGAGGGAGTATAGGTGGGACAGAATGGGATTGAGCCACAAAGGTGCATTTGGTGAGTTCTCACAGACCTATCCCACTCTCCAGGCTCGCAAGGTAGTAAACATAGAGGGAGTGAGGGGATATGGTGCTTAAGGACCTCTAAATAGAAAAAATGTAAGAGCTTCCAGAGAGTGGACCACTGCTGCCACTAGGAGCGTGGAAGAATTGGAGATGTCTGGGTTTAACCACCAGGCCGCTGTCACCAATTGGGAAGCTAAAAAATATTTGTGGCAGTCAGATAAGGATAACCCCCCCCCCAAGTAACACGATGCATCAATGTAGACAATTTATATCTAGGATTTTGAGGTCCCCAAAGGAAGGAAGAAATTAGTTGGTTATGTTTCACAAAAAAGGACTTAGGTATCCATTGTGGGGAGTGCCTAAATAAATATAGAAACTTAGGGATCACTTTAATTTTTAACTAATTAACTCGTCCTAGCAGGGACAAAGGCTGAGTCTCCCAAGCCTTTAGACTCAACCTGACATCCTGGAGAATAGGTAGAAGATTAAGGGAAATAAATTATGAAGCCTGATGAGAGATAATGACCCCCAGATATTTGAATTGATCAACACACTGTAGGGGCGTATCAGGGGGGGGCTCCTGGATCAATTGAGAACAACAATGATTTAGTCCAGTTCACTTTGAGTCCTGTGACAGCGGAGAAAGAGTTGAGGACCTGAAGGGCACCCTGTAACGATGGGCCTGCATCATGCAGAAAGAGCAAGAGGTCATCGGCATATAGAGCTGCCCTCTCCTCCAGCCAGCCAATCCGAAGCCCCTTGATGTGTGAAGGGCCTCTGCCACCGGTGCGATAGCTGTGGTGAAAAGAGCTGGAGAGAGAGGGCAACCCTGCCGAGTACCTCTGTGCAAACCAAATGAAGCTGATAACCCCGCCTCCCAACCTAACAGAGGCGGTAGGGGAGAGGTAGAGTACCTTCAGCCATTCAATAAAAACTAGGGGAAAACCCATTTTACGAAGTATTTTCCATAGGAAGGGCAATTCAGCAGTGCCGAAGGCCTTTTACCAGGAAAGAATTTGATTAAATGTTTCCACTGGGAATATCTGTTCTGGTGACAACTCTAGGATGGGAATTCCCCTCACTATGTAGTTTTCCTTTTACTTCCTATTGCATCTCCAAGACAAGAAGCAACGTGAAATCTTACTAATCGGACATCAGAAAATAAACTGACAGAAGTTTGAACTTATCCCTACTCTATCAAAAGCAGAAAGAAAATATTTAGGCTAAATTGTGGCTATTCATACACCTACATTTGCAGATTGGGGGGACTGGGATGGTCTTTAACCATTTATTGTGGACACACAAATATAGATATGCTCATTTAATCCATTATTCAATGCTACTATGCTAATAGAAAACTAAGGACCCCTCATTTGATGCAAATAAATACAATGTAGAATACATGATAATCTAAATACATTTCAAGAAGCCTGGAAGTATTTACCAATGCAAATATTGGGGTTGAATTACTAAAACTGGAGAGTGAAAAATTGGGTGCAGCTATGCATGGTAGCAAATCAGCTTCTAACTTTCACTTGGTCAATTAAGCTTTGTCAAAAAAAAAAAAAAAAAATTATGCAGAGCTGCACCAGATTTTGCACTCTCTGGTTTTAGTAAATCGACCCAATTGACTCCTACAAGTTGGGGTGCACCTGGAACCATCGATGGGTAGCATTACCTCTAAATTAAGGCTTTTAGACTACCTTCTGTCCTTCCTACCCCACTGTCATACCTAACTACCTTCCTTTTTGGTTATGAACAACCTCAGGTTAAACAGGGGCCTGTTCCCTTTCTGTTGTATAATCTATTGCAGTCTTTCTCAACCTTTTTACCCCAAAGTAACCCCTAAAATAAATTTTAGGTGTTGGGAACCCTTACTAAAACCAAGTCATCCGGGGTCAATGAGAAAAATGCCCCTTAGACTGGTGATCAGTAGGAAGAATGCCACCCTTACAGACAGCTAAACAGGAAATTGGGGCCATGTTGCTGACTTTACCAAGTCGAGTTGACCCTGCAACTATGAAGGCACTATTGGAGGAGAGGGGGGTCAATCAGTCAAACCTCAAGGAACCCCTAGCAGCCTCTGAAGGAACCCTAGTGTTCCAAGGAACCTGTGTTGAGTATGGATGGTCTATTGCCTGCATCACGCCATCCTCTTAGAAGTCTTTCAAAAATAGTCCCCCACAGAGCAATAATCTTGACCAAAATATGGACCCAATGAAACAATGACACCAAACAAAAACTCATTCCCAATACAGTTTCTTATATATTTTAATAAATATTTTGCTTGTATAGAAGAACTCCCCCCCCCCCCCTCCACCAAAACTAATCTGAGAGCCACTCCCTCTTGAGATACGAAGGATGTGGCTATGACTTCATTGTTATGTGATGATATTTGTATATCCCTCTGTCTTACTAAACTTTAAGAAAATTCAAATAAACATATATTAAAAAAAGACCCTCTATTAGATCTATTTAGTCAGCTCTTGATTGGTTTCAACTTTGCCAAGTTGATCAACTGTAGCAAATTTAGGTGGATTTATTTTGATCAAATAACTGTTAGCCTAAATATATCTACATACATATCTGGACAAATTGAAATTTGATTTTATTACATATTATGCTGTTTTAATAAATGACTGAATCTGACCATTCTTAATGTCTTCCTTAGATGTACAGTCTCCAGATGGAATAGAGTGCTCCATTGAGCGGTGTGAGATTGGTGTAGTGGGAGAGGACCTAAACCAGGAGTATGAGAGCTTATCTCTGGATGTCTCTTCTGCATGGCAGCGTGGCCTTGAGACCGAGAACAATTCCCGTAGCCTTCGTATCACAGGTGATGAGTTTTACTGACGTATATCTCCAAGACATTCCTGCTTCTCCTAGACTGTCTTTGCCTCCATGCTACTATCTCCAAGGCAGACCAATGGGGGAACCTGTGTACATTGGAGCTTACAGCTTCCTCCATGATGGACTAGTGATTCACTGTGTCATTTATGTGTAGGAAAGTAGTATTTATGCTCTAGATTCATACTTTAAATTCTGGCCTTACCAATTAGCTGTTAATGGGCCATGTGGCTATTCAACTATAGCCACAACAGTCCAATTGGCAGCTATGAGGCCCTGAGATG